TTTCTTGCTAAGGCTATTTGGACAAAAGAAAATTAAACATTATACTAGGCCAAGCAAATGAATGACAATAACACTGTGGCTGACCCAGACAGACAGAACTTTGAAAGAGAATCAAGTTCAATATTTATATTCTTGAGGGAAGAGTTTTGTTTCAGAAAAATATTTGGTACAGTTTCTACTGAGTCACATTAAGAGCACTGTGAAAACCACCACAAAACCAACTGGACTCAAATTCAACACAATGACATGTGTTTTTCAACCTGTAATCAGCATGTACTTCATGTTCCCTTTGGTTATTAAAATCCTGGAAAGAAATAATTACCCATCTGGGAATACGGCCTCTAAAGCATGAGGACTTCCAAACAGAATAATTTCTAATCTTACTTTTCCTACTAATTTTTCAAATTCCTTGATCACAAAAAGTAAACAAACACGTTTCACAGATGGGAGATTTAAATGGGGAGAAAACAATGACTACCAGGACAAAAGAAAGGCACAGTTCAGGGGTACAAGTTTGCAAATATATAGACTGAGTAGGTAATCAACCTTAGGAAATGAGGAGGAGAGTTATAATGCTGAGCTGTATGTTGGAAATCTGCTAAGAATACATTTTGGTAATTGCAAGGTGAAAACGGACATGTTACTTGTGCTTTACTATAGTAACTGTTCCACTATGTGTATTAGAATGTCATCCTGAGTACTGTAGATAGGCACTGTGCATTTTTCATACAAAACCATTTCAAGTCATGAGAAAGCGTGAGTACTTCTGTAATTTAATCAACCATTAGATTAAGTGATATAGGTCCCAGCTACATAGAATACTGGGTAATACTCAAATATTGAAGTATACCACCTGACCCAGCAATTCCACTCCTTGGCATTTATTCAAGATACATAAAAGACATGTTCACACAAAGACTTAAGGATGTAGCAGTCTCTATCACCAAAGACAATCTAAATAATCATAACAACAGAAGCAATAAACTAAACTGATGCAATTCTCATCAGTAAAGAGAAGTAAACTACTAATGTGCTAGAAAATTAGTGAAGTCAATAAAAATTATTCTGAGCTAGAGAACTTGAATACAAAAGGTCAAATGATATGGAAATCCACATTTGAAATTCTAGAAGAATGAAAACAGCACAGATCTCCAGGTGAAGGGCAGGGAAAACCTAGGAAGGGAGTCCAGAGAGTTACTGGTTAGATGTAAACACCTAGCTATTAAAATAATGTAGTAGCATGTACATTTACATATGTGCACATATCACCACAAAAAAGAACTGTACTCAAAAAAAAATCAAAACATGAATTAGAAATGGTTAGATGTGTGAGTGAAACAATAATGGCAGAATCGTGAAACTGTGACTGGTACCATCTATCATGATATCTGTTTATTTTATATATATTCAACATTTTTCAAAATATATATATATATATGCACATGACCAAAATTTTTCAGACTGTAAAAATTATGTTTTTCAGGACTCTATGTATAAAAAATGTAAAAAGGCATGGAGAACCTTGCATCTGTGCTTCTTGTGGGAAATTTTAATGCCACTCATTATTTTTTTTCAACTCCCCTTGCCTCCAGCTCCACATGTCTCCTACCTAATGGGCCATCAGAGTGAATATGATATGGCTGATTCAACTACCATCAGCTCCCAAATTAATTCTTCACTAGCCCCTCAAATATCTATTTCTAGCAATGACCGGCACAGATGGGGAGATCAGGACTTCTGCACGTGCTAGAGAAACAAAAGGACCTGACAGATCCCAAATTCGGCCTTTCTTCGCTGCACTCTCTAAAGACAATATCCCATAAGTTAATGAGAAAATAGAAACACATTCTTTTAAATCCTGACTTTTAAAAGTAATGTATGTGTGGCTTCTTTTTTAGCCTTTCTTTTTTCTCAACAACACAGAGAAATTTTCAGAAGAGTGAACAACAGAGAATAACCACCGAGGCCGATGGTCAATTTCTTTGCTCAGTCATACATCACTCAATGTGTCACAGTTTCCTAAATCATGTCTAAGGAAAATTCCATAGATTTCCCATTTCATGTCCAAGGCATGAGAAGTGCCACACAGAGGCGAGAGCAGATCAGGCTCAGCCACGACTATTTAAAGGTGTAATATATTAATACCTGCCTAGGTCACAAGGGGATTATAAGTCCACTGAGGTTAAGAATCTTCCTGACAGAACCTAGTAATTGCCTCAAGTATCAGTATCAACTAGTTCTGTATAGACAACCTAAAAAGAACACTGAATTTAGCTAACATTAAAGATCCAAGATAGATACTTTATCATCTATACTTACAATTCTTTTCATTTAACATTTTATTTTTATACAAATTCTAATGAAGAGTTTCACAAGATGTTAAATATTTAACAAACACTTGGGAAAAGAGTGTTCCCTGATGTCAACATCTTCATCCTCTCTTCACCCACTCATCCAATAGATGAGTATCTAGACATGCCAAATGATCTCTAAGTGACAGAAGAAGTACAGCAGTGACCATAACAAAGTTTATGCCCTCACAGGAAGGCCTATGAGATGCACTGCAGGTCAGGATTGCCAACTCAAGCCTGATGACCTGAGTTCAAGCCCCAGGGCCCATGTGGTGGAAGAAAAACCAGCTCTTGCAAGTTGGCCCCTTGCCTACCTATGAATGACACCTACACCCCCACACCCATTGACATGCCTACATACACACAAATAAATAAATAAGTAAATAGATGCTTTAAAAAGGAGGTAGGTGTGGTGTGGGGGAATCAACCAAGGCAGAAGACATTGCAGATAAGGAGTTAACATACATGCTCAGCCACTTAAGTTTCAGAACTCCATGCAAAGAAAACAAGTGCAGAAGTCTGGCACCGGAACCCAACGCAAATGAAAAAAACATTGTGGCTACCAAGGAGTGAGCCAGGACAAGCGCTGCAAGAGGTAGAAACCAGAGGGGCCAGATCCCTCCACACAACTGTATGATCTGAGCATAGGCCATCTTCCCACTTAATACTTTTACAGAAATGTCTATCTGGGGAAGGAACAAAGGTTGAAATAAGACCCATTCACTGTGGAGATCCCAATGAGTTCAGGGGACATTTTTATTCCATTTGTTTATGGGCTGTGTCAACACTATCTAACTGACAGTAATCTACTGACTGGGTTGTGCTTGTTTACCACTGGACTGGGGATTAGAGTGTTTGAGAAAGACACAAGAGCCATGCTCCTCTTCAGAGCTCAGTGTGAAGTACTAGACAGCAGAGCCTTTATCTCAATTAAGCTACATAAATCAGGGATGGCTAGATTTCTAAATACTGATCCTTTCCCAAATATCCCTCATAAATACCAGAAAATGCATAGTTTAACTTTCACTCTAAATACAAAGGTTCAAATTATTACAGTTATTCACAACTCTCATCAGACCACAATATACAATGGCAATCAAAGTCATTTCACTAATATTCCTGAAAGGCCAAGATATCAGAAATCATGAAACTGACTAACACTCTCCCAGACTCCTATTGCTCTGCTAAGGTAATAAACCTCTCTTGTAATGAAAACACTATCTCCAACTCCTCCAGATTTACCTTAACATCAGCCTCGTGCACTTCCAGGTGTTATCACTTTCAGGTACTAAAAACTGAGTTAGATCCAAACACACTGCATACCTCTCTATTTTAGCCACTTTGAGTGCTATTAATCTGTTTAAGAGGGTGTCAGGAACACAAGCTTTCTCCTGTGCACTGTGGTGATTTCATACTAGGCTCAAAGCCCTCCAAGAAATTAAATCATCGGGACTGTGTCATGAATCACATCTGGCATGCCTCCGAACTGCTTTCTGATGATGAGCAAGCGAGATAACCAAGATGCTGATTCCACTCTACACAATTTCACTTTCAGCATCTTCTATAATGTTACTAGGCAGATTTTAAAACAAAAATCAGAGAGTTATAAATAACTCTCATCTGTGGTTTGTGAAACCTCAGCCCACTAGCCAGAAAACTGGTGGCTTCAAAAACAAAACAAAAAAACAAACAAACAAAAAACAAAACAAACAAAAAATCCACCCCTTTCCTACCCAAAGCCCAGGCAGAATCTACAGTGTAGAAGGTAACTAACTGGGGTTGGGGGCGGGGCAGGGTAAAGGCTATTTAAATTGATAGCCCAATTGCTGACCCAGGAGCTTGGACTGGGGGAGGGGAAGACAGAAAATAGGGGACTGAAATGGTCATATATACTACACCCATATTTCATCACTCCTACCGAATGTATCTAGAGAAGGCTCATTTAAGTTCCACTACAAGGAGATTCCCTCAGGGGGAGGGACAGGCGATGCTACCTAAGCGTCACTCCATGCTTACCCATCTGTCTCCCTTCCTAGTCCCTTCCTTCAACAACAAACTCCTGTTTCATTGTTTTCTTTCATCTTATCGTACCAAATGCATTTTTCCCCTTCTTTGCAAGCCGCCTTAAACCTTTCCTGGGATAAAAAGAGAAATATAATGAAATAAATCGAGATTTCTTTCTCCAGTTCTAAATTTAAATTCAGCAGGCAGGGAGAAACAGTGTAAAAAGCTGTGTGGGTGTATATGGCAAAATTGTACAGTATCTAGGAGCGGATAGAGAACATAATGCTAAAGGGATTTGAGAGCGTGTGTGTGTGTGTGTGTGTGTGTGTGTGTGTGTGTGTGTGTGTGTGTGTAAAAGAAGGGAGGGAAAATAAAAAATAAAAAGATCAGTGGAAGCAGGAACCTTGACTCCCCGCATCCCTCTTTATGGTCCCCAACCCTTCCAAAGCCCACTGCAGTGCTCTACGGGAAGATTTCCTACCCGAGCAAAGAACCAAAGGCCGAACCCGCAACCTGGGAAGACGCAGAGGGATAGGGACCTGCAAGGATAGGCAAGGGGGAGATGGGGAAGGAGCTAAGAATCTGGCAAAGCCAGAGGAGATCGCTGGCACAGATACACAGCAGGGTCGGGCTGCTGGGACCTACCTGGAACCACCAAAGTAGAGGATGCCCCAGGCACCTCTAGCCTCTCCTCCTCCGCCTCCTCCCGCTGCTTTTGCTGTTGCTGCTGCTGCTGCTGGATGAGACTGAGGTCGGAGCGGCTGAGTTCGGCTCTGGTGGCTGCGGGAACCAGCCGAGCCTTCAGCAGCACCGCGGCCAGGCCGAGGAGCAGGGCGCAGGGGATGCGCCGGCAGAGCCTCGCCATGGCCGAGAGCCAGCGGGCCACGGAGGCATATTGCGGGGCTGCGGGCGGCGGCGGGCGCCAGGGCTGCGGAACCCGGCCGCGCCCGCTCGCTCGCTCCCCCTCGCGCCGTCTGTGGTGCACAGCCTCGGCGGGAGGAGGAGCGGGTCGGCAGGAGGACGGCGAGCGAGCGGGCTTCGCATCCTCGCGCACGTGACCGCCGGGAGGGGCGAGCGAGCGGGGACTGGGCCCGCCACCACCAGGCAATGGCTCGGCAAGGTGATGCTGATGCCGGGGCGCTTAGCCAGATGGACACTAGCAAGAGAGGCCTTCTCGGAGGTGGAGGACGTTCGCACCCTCAGTCTATACCGAGGCAACGGGAAAAAGTACAAAGTGAAATAAAATTTTGCCCACTTGACCCCGATGTAGAAAAGAAGGTGACACATTGGTTACCCTTAAGAAACCATGAGATATGATTGGTTCAAAAGCCAGGCTCCTTTAACCCAATATTCTTATCTGCTGTGCCATGCCTCATTACAAGATCAACTGATACTCTCCGGACTTTAAATAAACTTACCTTTTTTTACTTAAATGATAATTTCTTTCTTCATCATAAAATATTCCTAATTGTACTTTTATCCATTTTAACTTATACTTTTCATGTATGGGGGGGGGGTTCGTTTGTTTTTTAATCTTACCAGACATAGTAGTGCACACTTTAATTTTAGCTCTGAGGAGACAGGAGCAGAGGCAGGGTGGGGGGTTGTATCTGTGAGTTTGAAGCTAGGCTGTTCTACATAGTGAGCTCCAGGAGTCCAGGGTTAATATAAAGACCCTTTCTAAAACAAAAACAAACAAAAGACCTACTTAAATACCTAAGGAGGTGCCCTCTGGGCCTTTAGTCAGGAGGTTGGACTAAGTGAAATAGAATCCCTTCCTTAGACAAGTTTACCACCTGTTAGGGTGAAGCAACATTTAAGCAAAATACAGTCCACTGTGGCGATTGCAACCCAAGAAGCAGTGCAGGCATTTAAAGCTGACATAGAGGTAAATGAAATTTAAGGTCTGTGGAAGACACTAGGGAAAGTAGGCTGTACATAATTGGAATTCACACAGAAACGGGAACAACCAGGTCACCTAAGAACTGGAAGCCTCTGTGTGTGTGTGTGTGTGTGTGTGTGTGTGTGTGTGTGTGTGTGTGTGTGACAAAAGCACAATGTGCTTGGGCAAGTGTGAGAGGACTGACCATTTCCTACAGTGAACGGAGAGTGGAGAATACCAAGCTATTTAAAAATAACTAGCAGACACTTGTGCATGCTTACAGTATAGGGCACTGTTCTATCATTTAACAGATGGCAACTCCAGCAATCTTGGATGCTATATAAGCAAGCAGAGTTCTACACTGAAGACCATTTTGAAGGAAACTCAACAGGAAAGAGATGCCCTATCAGCCATGCAGTTTTAGAGTCACTCTATCAGCATGAAAAATAGATTAGAGGAGGAAAGACAGGGCAGAGGGACAGCCATGTTTAGGCATTTGTTATAAAAAAAAAATCAAACAAATAACAACAAAAAAGAAGAAAGAAAAAAGAAAACGGGAAGCTGCCAAAGATGAGCCTAGAAGCAAACTGAGACCCCTGGCTGCTTCTGACATTATCAAGATTGGTTGGTGGGACTGAGTAAAGCTAAGATCTGCAGTAAAGAAGCCCAACTTGACAAATGTGAATGCTTTGTATATGGAGCATCTGCAGGAAGTTCCACATATAACCTGGCTCATCTGGCTGTGACATCACTCTTTTTTTATATTAATTTATTTTTTATTTTTATTTTACATATCGATCCCAGTTCCCTCTCCCTCCTTCCCTCCCTTTCTCTCTCACCCTCACATGCCCCCACCACCATCCTCCCCTCCCATACCCCCCCATATCACTCTTTACCTCATAGGTGGCACTTAAGCTGCTTTCTCCCCTCCCATCTCCCCTGGTCTTGAGGCTGTCCCTCTCACTGTTTCCTGCTTGGTGGAGACAACAGTAAACACAGTGGTGGGAAATTACTGTGGTAAAGACTATAAAAACAATGTCTATATTCAATAAAATAATAACACATGCTGCAAACATGCTCTCCTTAAATTCTGGGAGCAGCTGGAGAAAGTAACTCCCATTGTCTTTTTAACAGATGGAAGCAGTAAACATCTGAGAGGCTTGGTGCTTTGTCCGAGACTATGCCAGGAGTCTGTGACTTGCCATTTGCAGTTTGAAATGTCTAGTTTCAACTTATATTGATTTTTAAGTGAATTTGTGATAAAAAAAAAATATGGACTACATATTGCTTAGAAAATAGATGTCAAAGGGAGATGCCTTACACTATACTTTTGTCTGTCAGCCTTGTCTATATGAGCAGGTGGTACTGGAAGAGGGGCTCTTGGCTGGGAGCCTTCCTCAGCCTCCTCAAGCTGACTTCCCTACTTTGTATTCCAAGTTACCTCAGCATCTGAGCAGAAGAAAGGAGAAAATGCAAACAGCTCCAAAGACCTGATTGGTGATAAATCACCTTTATTTTCCCACAATCAAACCTTCTTTAAACAAGTGTTAAAACACAGTCATACTACAAGTGATCTACATCAGGAAATGTGGCGGCTTATTTTTAGAGGTGAGTGTTGACATTTCTAAGTGCTTACTTAGATGGTTCTTAAATGTTCCATTTCCTATATAGTTTATGTGGGCAGTGTCCGAATTTACAAAATCCACATTATCTGGTGCAATTAGGGCTAAACACTGGTTTAAAAAACAAACAAACAAATAAACAAACATTGGCTAAGATACATTTAAAAATCAGCCTCTGAAATACACCTTAGTTATTTTACCTTAAAGTAAATAAATGCATATTTTTTTTTTTACCAAACATTCCCTGTAGAGCTAAGATTTCCAGTATCTAAGCACAATCTAGGGCTTGAAGACAAAAGCCAAATCATAATATACTGTTGTGTTCTACAGCTCCTCTGAGCCATCTCTCCATCTCAGAACTGTGCTACTGTGTTAACTGAAGCCGTATTTGAAACCAAAGTAGGAGTGCTTTGCAACAAATGGTCTCTTGCTTGCAAGAACACTCTTTGGATAAAAAAAATGCTTATGAGAGAGGTGATCTAGGACATCGGTGTTTAAAATGACACTAAAACCCACCAATGTGCCAGTTAAAAAAAAAAAAAAGTTCCATTTTTAACAAATATCTAAATCATTTCTAAACAATCTTGTCATATGTGTATTACTTTCCTGCCACTTTGGTCATGTGACTATTGGAACAGGAAACCTGAAAATGTGCATTAATGTGGTTTCAATGTGTCACATTGTATAGTGTCTGCATTCAGCTTACTGCTATCTCAAACAGGATGAGACCGATACACTACAGGCACACTCTTGAGGCACCTTCCATAAAATTATGTAAGACACTTCCTCCATGTTGACTTTCTCATCTAACATTCGTGGGGTCAGCAGTGTTTCGGATTTGTAGCATGTACAGTCTACCAATTAAGCATCTTGACACTGATCACCAACCTCACAGCTGGAATTTTGGACTCCGGTGCTAGGAATGTTTTATTCTAATAGAATTGTAGATACATAAAAACTTAAGAAATGAAGAGGTAAATGTATAACAGCCACATGGAGTGAAAATAATAAAGTTCTTTGCAATGAAAATAAGAGACCATTTTAGAAATACAAATATTCTTACATTTCCAGAAAATCCATATTTACCCTAAAGACTTCTATTTTCTTGGTCTATTTTAGTCCACAAAGCAATGGGTTGCACAGTGACATTTTCTCAAGTGAATCATGTACTATGAACATATCCCATATTTTCCTCTTTCATCCTCCCCTTTGCCACTATTTGCCTTCCTCTTCCCCTTCAACTTTCACATCATTTTTATGTGCTATAATCAGCAAATGAGAGAAAACATGCAACATGTCTTCATAATTCTTATTTTACTTAACCTGATGAACTCTAGTCCTATTTCCTTCAACCAATGACATTATTTATTACACAATAAAATCCTATTGTAAATACATATTTCATTTATTCATCCATCTGTTGGACTTTTAGACTGATTTCATAGCTTAGCTGTTGTAAATAGTACTTAATAGTGCCACAATAATCATGGATGATCAAGGGTACCGTGTGCTTAGATGTCCATGATGGCCTGCTATCACTATAGTTCTATTTTTAGTTTATTATGGAACTTCCATACTGATTTCCATAGTAGCCATGCTGGTTTATATTCAGCTATGACCAGGAGTTCCTTTTTCACACGTTCCCTAACATTTGCGTGTTTGCTTGCTTTTTAAATGATAGCCACTCTAGGTTGGAACTGAATTTTTTTTATAATTTTTTTATTTAATTTTATATAACAAAGTCCAATTAAATGAAAACAAACATTTATACACAACATTTGGGAATTTGGGCATCGTTCTTTCCAAACTACTTCCTGCTGGTAAGGGGCGCTGTCTTGGGGGATTCGAAGAAGATTCAGATATCCTAGCTGTAGTCTGTAGGGCTGTTTTGTCCAGCTGTTTTGAATGTAGGATCAGCTTGTACTCTGTTTCAGGCGGTCTGGCGTGATCAAACCACATTAGTCTGGAAGGAATCCACATCTTTTCATTTTCTGTGGAAACAAAAATAGAAATCCTTTTCCCCAGTACCTTGTTCTTCAAGTTAAATTTTGGAGTCAAAGCATTTTTTTTTAATTTATTATTTTACATGTCGATCCCAGTTCCCTCCCTCCTTCCCTCCCTTTTACCCTCTCTGCCCTCTCACATGCACTCTAAACACCCTCCCCTCCCATCCCCCCACCACAATTCCATATGTAGGGGAATGCCATCCAGTTGGGGTCATGTAGATGTGACAGGTCCTGTGAAGTAGGGACTAGGGCTTCTCTCCTGTCTCTAGAATAAGGCAGTTATCCCTCCATGGGGGATATGTTTGCAAAGTCCTTTTGTGCACCAGGGATACATCCTGGCTCCACTGTCTGAGGTCTCTTAGACTGCTCAGACCTGGTTGGAACTGAATTTAACCATAGAGTTTTTACTTACATTTCTGTGATGGCTGAAGATATTGAACACTTTTCATGTATTTACTGACTATTTATACTTCATCTTCTCAGAAATGCCTGAGTATTTGATTTGCTCACTTAAATGACTGGATGGTTTAGCTTTATGGAGTATATAGTTTTTCGAGTTCTTTACATATTGTAGGTACTAATCCTCTGGTGACTATAAAGCATGGAGATTCTTATCTCTTCTGTAGGCAGCCTCTTCACTCTGCTCTTTCCTTTGATTTGCAGAAGTTTTGTGCAATCTCACTTGTATGATTCTTGCTAATATTTCTAGAACTGTTGAAATACCAAGAATGTATTTTTCTCCCTAAGAATGTGGCTTAACCAGACACCCATAGCCAAACAGGAGGTGAACTGCTGGAATCTAGTTGCAGAGAGGAAGGAGTGATGAGTAAAGGGGTCAAGCCCAGGCTACAGAAACCCACAAAAACTGCTGACCTGAACAAAAGGGAGTTCATGGACTCCAGTCTGATAGCTGGGAAACCAGCATAGGACTGACCCAGACCCCCAAACGTGAGTCTCAGTTATGAGACCTGGGAAGTCTATGGGACCTCTGACAGTGGAACCAGGATGTATCCCTAGTATAAGAAAGGACTTCAGGAGCACATTCCCAATGGAGGAATATTCCCTTAACCTAGAGACAAGAGGGAGGGCCTAGACCCTACCCCAGATGACTTGACAGATTTTGATGATCCCTCCTGGAAGGCCTCACCCTCCCTGAGAAGTGGATAGGAGATGGGGGATGGAAGGGGAGAGGCATGGGAGGATGGGAGGGAGAGGGAACTGGGATCAACACGTAAAATAAGAAAAAAATAAGATTAAAAAAATAAAAGAATGTGGCTTAACATTAGGTTCCCTTTGTTTTCAGTTTGGATAACTAATCCTCTTAAAAATCTGAACTGAAGTCATGGTTTTGATGTATTATGGCTGGTTTGTGTGACTAAGAAACAAGAGCTCTTAGGAGAGAAAAGAATCCACACATGAAGCTGGCACCACATGTTCAAGTTTATTGTACAGCCACAAGTTACACACTGGAAACAAAGCAGAACATGGTACCTGCTTTTACTAACTCAAACCAAGTTAGCAAATGACAGATTTCAGAACAGACTCATTTTATGTCTCACCCAATGTGGGCGACCACGAGAAGCCAAAGAAAATTACCTTCCATGTTACTCAAAGAGCAAAATAATTTGATACAAACAGCTTCCAAGTTACCTCAAGATGCTGAAAGTGTTGTAAAACACAAGGAACAGTTCACTTTCCACCTAAAATAAAATGCAGAATGGATGTTTTAGAAGTAAAACAACAAAGACTATACTTTCAGGGATCACTTCTATAGTTCATTAGAAGTAAAACAACTTCACCTACAGCTACAGCAGAATTGCTCTTTTCTGCTAACAAAAAAACAAAACACTAATAAATGTCTATTCAGATTAGGCTTACTAAATTAATAATGACATATGTTTCATTACATTGTTATATTGCACTTGAGAACAATGACAACAAAAATCGAAGATGCAGTACCTCTCAGAGAAAGTGTGATGTATCAGGAATTAAATGAATGCCAGTGTATACTGCAGACGATACAGCCACAGGTTCACGGTTCAAAGGAAAGGAACCACAAGTTCAAAGAAACCTTTTACAAACCACTAAACATTAAGCAATTTTATTTGCCTCTGTGGATCCCATAATACAATTTTGTTCATCTTTTCCCCTTACTCACCAAATTAAACGTACCAGCCACCCATGAGTAAAACCAAGGTGACATTCACATAGGCAATGGCCACACAGGTATTCTAGAACAACTAACTCTTCTCCTCCATGAGGCTCTTCACAACATTCTGTCACATGGGAATAGATGCAGCTCAGCACTCTATTGCCCTACAAGAACCAGCTGTTCTATCTACACTTTGCCACAGAGATCCCTCCTTGGGGTTAGGCTCACTATAAAACCCTCACTGATGTCTTAAAGCAACAGCAAAACTCTTTCTACTATTAGTGAATTTCCTCATTATATAAATAATGTTGTATTCATGAGGATTAACTAATCAGTAATTTAATAATTCAGGTAGAATTAAGACAACAACACTTTGACTGTTTCACCTTTTATAGTCATAATTATGGTGATAATTAAACATAAGGAGGGGAAGTGACCCTGACACTGGTGTTTTGAAGTATCAAGTCTAAAATGAATACCTCTTTAAGAAATCAGTGTAAGTGCCAATATTTCTCATGTGTGCCAAATATCCTCTGGATTGCTCAATTTTTTTTAACTGGACTAGATTGTGAGAATTTCATATTTGGAAATGAATGTGAATTTTCAGTAAATTACAAATATAAATCTAAAACAATCCTTTTGATATCCTGTAGAATATATTCATATGCCGCTATAGAATAAAAATAATCAATGTTTTTTTCAGAGTTGACTTTGAAATTACAGTTCCTAATTTTACACAGATACAAGTTTATACATTTTAAATTACACATCATGTTAATTTCCAGTTACAACATCATTCAATCCCTAACAGATAGTTTCTCCTTGGCAAAGAAGCCATAATAGGAATAACTGTAAAAACCAATATTGATCCTATCATCAAAGAATGAATTTCATTGATTTTTCGGGAATGGCAGCTGTTATGTAGGAAGACAGAAAAGGTGAAAGTTTTTAGGTCAACTTAGTGACTGCATGGTGGTGGGTAACACTTGGCCCTAAGATAAAAACATTTTTTTTAAAAGCATTTAAATTTATTGGTTAAAAAAATACTGTGTATATGATTATGATCTTTCAAGCCATTAATAGATGTATACCCCCAGAAGTTATTACTTTAAAAGTTCATTAAAGCTAAATATAGGATTCTGCCTATATTCTAACTTGTACAACTCACCTAAATGTGTTTTGTGTTATGAAAATAAATTCTCCAAATTAGCTCAGCCATTTGCACATTGAATTGCCAGAAGATATAAGACAAATTTCAATTATTTTTTAAAATGTAGAAAAATATTCAATTATTTAGGAGAAATATTTTTCATTGCTTAATGAGGATAGCAGTTTAAAAAGCTATTAAAATTCTCAACTTCTAGTGCATAACATGATGTAATTGTACAAAAATAGCTATAATTGATAGTCATCCCATGGCCTTGAGGAACGGTGAATAAATCAGGGCCACTTAAGACGTAACTTGCTAACTATGCTGCCTCCATTAAAGCCCCAGAAGTTTTATGTTAACAAATATAAGAAAGATTTAGAAGGTTTTCAGTAACAAGAACTGCTTATAAAAATACCTTTTTTAGCATTTATTCTGACAGCTGAGGCAGGTTTTATGCATTGTCTTGCTTAACTTGAGGTAATACCCATGCTAGAAGCAATGGAATGAGCTACCTTTGGAATGTTAATTCCAAGCATTTCTCATGGGATAAGGGTGAGAAATCCAAGTTCCTATAGGTTATAAAGTCAGTCTTGACACATTCTCGATTTTGGAAATAGAAGGAAAATATGAATACAGGAGAAAATAAATTAACACCAATTAAAAGCTCCACTGAAGAATGTAATTTTAAAGTCTTTCAACTTCTTATATGATGCAAACAGCCAGACAAATGAAACAGATGTACTTCAGAAACAACTTCCAACTCCTAAGGCTTCAATTACCATCATTATTTAGCTGAGATCAAACTATTGCTTCAGGGGTATTTTTAATTATAGAGTTTTCTGCATAAAATGGCTTAAAGGATTTGATACAAATTTTAAATTACAAAAGTTAAAATACAATAAGATACAATGCAGACTAAACATAAATAAAAACCTAATTTTCATATAGAAATACTGTACCGTTGCTAATACAGGAAACTGAATTGAGGATTAGACCCAGAGACTTGACATGCTAAGCACACGCTTTGAAGTGGGCTACAGCCCCAGGAAAGTACTCTGATGGTATCAGATTTCTTTTAAAGTTCTACTATGTAAATAATATTAAAATCTAAGTCCATGCAACTGCAGAGCCTTCAGTAGCTTACGAAATCAACTGTAGTGTAATGTGTACTAATGTTCTAAGTACCTGTACAAAATCATTGACGCTAAAGTCTAAATTGGAATTGCTTTAAATATCCTAGTTGCCTTAACAAAACATCGAAGAGGAGAGAAACCTCACATAGTAAATTAGAAATAGTAACTGAAGAAGTACCATGTTATATAATGTGGTAACTCAGGGGCTGTCTTTGTACACCGAACAAGGATTATTTTTATCACTTGAAATTTCATTACTTCGATGCTGAAAAAACATGTCAGTGTATTTGAAGTAAATGTAATTTGAACCTGTTCATAAGGAGAAGTTGACAAATACTCATTTCAGTTTTGTGGATAAACTGAGGCTACTGGGTACCCTCATCAGTACATCTTGGGATCTTTGTTCTTTATGAAAGACATTTAAATCTATCATCAAAGTGGTAAATTTAGTGCATCCGGAGGTGGGCGCAGCTTAAAAACCAATTAGGTTTCAGAGTTTCCTTCGCCATTCTCATGAGGTTGGAGCTGTTCTCGTTCTTGCTCTTCTTGAGGTGGTCGGACACGTTTAAAAAAGCCCATCTGTCAGTTAAAGAAAAAGCACAGCTCTCACTAACAGAATGCTAAAAATACAATTGAGTGACTGTCATCAGCTCGAACATTCAAATGGCATTTTTGTTTAGTTTCCCATCCTGAAATAAGCCCCGCTCACCAGGCGGCATCATTGTGGCTCCCTCTCTTCTCATCCTTACTCTTTTCATCCCTTTCCACCACTTCACCTTCCCTTTTCCTTCTAGACTCTCCCTTGCCCTTCCAAAGTCCATTCCTTACCCTGTACATAACAAATACCAAAACAGCCAGTAACAGGAGTCCCGCGAGAACTGCCAGGATGATCACCCATACCGGCACAGGCATGGGTGTGGGCTGAATGCCCCAGGTGATGTTAGTGGTGACCTGTTGGGGAAAACACATTGAGTTTTAGATAACTCTTGGACTTAATATATACAAGACTTAACTTTTAATTTCTATTTTAGTGGTATTCACATCGTATTCTCTTTTTTCATGCAATAATCTTGTAAGTGCGTGTTGGGTGTCAATAGCATGCACACGAAGCTCCCAACAATAAGCTGGCTTCAGATTTGATGCGAAATGCCCAGTAGATAAACCAACACAGATCATGACAGCTGATCCCAATTTTAGTATTTAAATATCTTCAAAATTCACTTATTTATTGTACTTAGTCCCCAACCTTATGACTTTGTGGGAAGAAAGTAACTAAACCATCTCCCAACAAATTAGGGATACAGTAAAAACCCTGTTACATAGAACAAAGCACTAAAGAAAAAAGCCCAGCTCTAGGAATCCAAGAATAAGGAAGTTAAAAAAAAAATACCATAGGACAAGAGTATAATCCCAGGTCAATGAGATAATTCAGCAGCTAAAGGCACTTGCTACTACAACTGAAAATCTAGGTTCAATCCTCAGGTCTCAAATAACAGGAGGAAAAAAAATATCAATCCTGGAAATTTATCCTCTTAACTCCATGTGAACACTGTGGCATGTGCCCCTCCACCACCACCACCACCACAACAACAACAAATGTAATTTTACAAAAGAGAGAGAGAGAGAGAGAGAGAGAGAGAGAGAGAGAGAGAGAGAGAGAGAGAGAGAGAGAGAAGGGAGTGCTTTCCATTCTAAAATATTAATCCTCTCAAATAACTTTATTACTTTCAATTGTTGTAGTTAAACTCCCATTTTAAAAATCCTAAGGTGTTTCCACCACATGCATTCATTCACTTTCGGGAACCAGTGACTTACGAGTGTGGAGTTGAAGAGGTCCTCGATGGGAAGATTTTTGTAAGGGAACTCTATGATATTAAATGAAGCTGATGACTTCAGGGAATAAGAGTGGTTCTGGTTCTCCTTCTGAATGGAAACAACAACAGGATGGTTGCTTAGTAGCAGGCCTTTAGTATTCCTCTGAAAAATGTATAACTCTGCTGGTACATCTATCTGCTTACATTCATAAATGTCTCAGTCCACAACAGGGATTTGACATACAGGATTGCACTCTTCCCTCGGTCCAGTCGCCCAACCTGGCAGATGATCTGCAAGCACTTAGCAACTCCACAGCCCTGCCAGGATAAATCATTTTACTTACAAAATAAGACCACACTGACCTTTTTTAACATTAACATTTAACATTTGAACAGTAAGCATTCTCACATGAAAGCTAAAGAGATATTATATAGATTCTCCTGTCTTTTAGGAATCATCCTTAACAAACAGGCCAATAGTTAACTCTGTGCTTTTTGTTACATTGCTTTTATTTTATATATTTTGTTTGTTTGTTTTTGCTTTGAGACAGGGTCTTCTTAAATAGTGCTAGCTGTCCTGGAACTCACTATTTAGAGTAGGCTGGCCCATAACTCACAGAGATCTACCTGCTCCTGCCTCTCCAGTTCTGGGATTAAAGACATGAGCCACCACACCCAGCAAAAGCAGTGTTTTTATGAAAATTATTCTAGAAACATAAAATATATAATATCGAAAATTCATTTTTATGAAAACTGAGCATTCTTGAGCCATCCCCTCAATGTGGTAATTTTAAGTCATAAACATCAGATCACAGTAACTGTGTAGAAAAGTAAAGCAAAGACTGAATCTTTAACTGTTCTTCTGTGTGAGACCTGCAGAGAGAAAATCCCATACTGATGACATCTCCCATAATTAGTGTTTTCAGCAAGAACTTGAAGGTTGACAGCTAAGGGAAACAACTATCCATCACCTCCCATGTGCTGGTCACATTACACTATGTCAAATGTGTGCATTTCACAATGGTGCTGTCCAGTGAGTAGCACCAGGAGTGGAAGAACAGGAAAAGTGAACTTCCTCCACCCAAAAAGGGCATCTGTAACAGAATCACGACTAACACTACACTTAACAAAAGACCACACAGAAGGCAAGGGGGTCTGGACATTCTATTTCTAGTCAGCTGCACAGTTCTAGCCAGTGTGGTTCAACAGTAGCATAATAAACAGATAAAGAAAAGCCACCTCTTAGTAGATAAGAAGGTATTATTTGTTAAATATGTACTAAAAAACAGACAATAAAAGCAAACTACATTAAAACTAATAAAGAGGGGCTAGAGAGATGGCTCAGTGGTTAAGAGTACTAGCTGGTCTTCCAGAGGACCAGGGTTCAATTCCCAGCACCCACATGGCAGCTCACAACTGTCTATAATCCAGTTCCAGGCAATCTAATACCTTCACACCAATACACATGAAATAAAATCTTTAAAAAACGAATAAAGAACTAATTAAATACAGAAACAGAGCACAGATCTTGCAGGGTACAAGTTCAACATACAAATATGACTTGTAATTTGTACACTAGCAACAGCATCAAAAAGGACAAAAAGCATATCAATAACTATAAGTGCAAAGCTAGAGCAATAAAAACTAAGAACTACTGTTGAAAGGAATTAAAGAATTCCTAACTGAATAGCCTGTGTTCTGGGAGGCAGGAGTTCTCAAACTCACAACCAAACTCACAAATTGTTAGTGAGATAGATACAAATAGCTATAAGAATGTAGAAGCTCTCCCTAAAGTCCATAAAGAGTTGCTAAAAAATACTAAATATCCAAAATCACCTTGAAAATAAGCCAAACACAGTGACACAAGCTTGTATTCCTGGCACTCAGGAAGCTGAGGCAGGAGGATCAATATAAGTTCTAGACCAAGATCAACATGTGAAATCATGTAGTGAAATTAAGAAAGAAACTGGAGGGGGGAGGGAGGGGGAAAGGAATGAGGGAGGGAGGAAGGAAGAAGAAGAAAATTTCAAAACTTATTGCAGAGATAACAATGTGTTATCATTATTAAGAATACACTTATAAATCAATAGAATAGAATTAAACAAGAAATAGGGGTGGGTGAGTCAGTAAGTACCTGCTGGCAAGTGTAAAGAGCCGAGTTCTGATCCCCAACACCCACAGAATAAAAGCAAGACACAGAAGCACATTCCAGAAACCCTGCTGCTAGGAAGGAAGAAACAGGAGAATCCCTGAGGCTTTCTAATCTAGCCAGTCAAAGAGTTCCAGGTTCAGTGAGAGACCCTGTCTCTACAAGACACTAGAAGGAAAACATCAGTCTGAAGAATTTAAATAGACACAAGGAAAAAATAATGCCAGAACAGTAAATCAAAAGAGGAAATAAAAATCTACAGCATAGGAACAAATGAACAGGAATCAATAAACACTGCTCATTGATAACTCTTGATATTAACGGTCATAGTTCCCTAATAAATAGACAAAGGCTAACTGATTTGATTAGAAAACAGGATCCATCTTTCTGCTGCATCTGAGAAATACACCTCACCATCAAGAAAAAATATCACCTAAGAATAACAGTATGGAAAAAGTTACTCCAAGCAAATATACACAAGAAGCAAGCAGGTATAGGTATTTTAATTGTTCAGAAAATAGACATCAAATCAAAACTAATTCAAAGAGATATGGAAGGGTACAACATAATCATTAAAGGAGAGATCCATGGAGAGGTTATTGCAATTCTGAACATTTATCCACCAAACACAAGGGCAAAATTCATATACTGAAAATTCATATACTTCAAAATTCATATACTGACCCTCAAACCCTTGCCAATAGACAGATTGTCCAGACAAAAATCAAATAGGGAATTTCTGAAGTTAAATAATTTCATAAATCAAATGTACCTAGCAGACATGTACAGAACTCAAGTACTACAGGATATAACTTCTTATCAGTACCCCATGGAACTTTCTCCAAAGCTGACCACATATTAGGGCACAAAGCAATTCTCAACAGATACAAGAAAATTGAAATATAGCCGTACATCCTATCTAACCAGATTTAGCTGGATAGTAACAATAGAAAGTTTACAAACTCACTGAAACTGAATTCATTACAGAATGAAAAATGGGTAAAGTCTAAAATTAAGACAAAAAAACTATTTATAATGGAATGCAAATGAAAATACAACACACTTGAGCCTATGGAACACAATGAAGGCAATTCTAAGCGGCAAGTTCATAGCACTAAGTGCCTATATCAAAAAACGGGAGAAATATCATATTAATAACTTAGCAACACATCTAAAGGATATAGAACAACAAGAAGAAATAATACCCCCAAAAAAGGATAGATGGCAATAAATAATCAAAATCAAGACTAAAATCAATAGAATATGAACAACAATCACCATTAAAATGAAGAGTTGATTTGTAAGGAGTAAGATTTAATTACAAAAAAGACAAATCATTAGCCAAATTAACTAAATGATGGACAGCAGAGATCCAAATTAATGACATTAAAGATGAAAAGGGAGACATTACAACAGACACCAAGGGAAATTTAGAAAAGCATAAAGACATACTTTAAAAATCTGCATTTCACCAAACAGGAAAACCTTAAAGAAATGGATGAAATTATTGATATATATGACCTACCAAAGTTAAATCGAGGTCAAATAAGCAATTTAAACAAACTCACAACCCCTAGTGAAATAAAAAAACAGTAATTAAAACTCTTTCAAGAAGCAGTCCAGGGCCATATTATTCAGTGCAACATTCTACCAGACCTTCAAAGAATGAATGTCAATATTCCCTCAGATTCTTCTGCAAAACAGAAACTAAAGGAATCATTTTACAAGACCACAATTACCCCAATACCTAAACCACACAAAACGATCAAACAAAAAAAAGAAAGAAAGAAAAAAGAAAATTAAGAACATAGACACAAAAGTTTTCAATACAATACTTGCAAATACACAATCAAAAGAAATATCCACTATTGTCAAGTTAGTTTAATTCCAGAAATCCAGGGATGGTTCAACTTATATAAATCAATAAAAGTAATCCAGCAGACTCAAAGACAAAACAAAGCAAAACAAACAAACAAACCAAAAAAACACATAATCATCTCAGATGTACAAGAGACCTTTGACAAAATCCAGCATTCTTTCATGATAAAAGTCCTTCAGGGAGTAGGGATACAAGGGAGATACCACAACAAAATAAAGGCAATTTTCACCAAGCCCACCACCACCATTGACCTGAACATAGAGAAACCTAAAAGCATTTCCATTAAAATCAGAAACAAGACAAGGATGTCCATTCTCTCTATACCTACTGCTAGAGCAGGAAAACAACCCAAGAAGATCAAAGGGATACACATAGGAAAGGAATAAATAAAAATATCTTTATTTGCAGATAATATCTGCTTCTACATAACAGACTCTAAAGCCTCCACCAGGAAACCTCTACAGCTGATAAATACAGCAGGATACAAAATTAACATATAAAAGATCAGTAGTCTTCCTACATACAAACAACAAACAGACTGAGGAAGAAATCAGGGAACCAACACCTTTCACAACAGCCAAAAAACCAACCAAACAAACAAACAAAAAAATCTTGAGGTAACTCTAACCAACCAAGTGAAAGCTTTGTATTTATTCTTTAAGATAGTGAAGAACAAAATTATAAAAGAGACCAGAATATGTGCTCATGGATCAGTAGAATTAATATTGGGAAAATGGTCATCCTACCAAAAGCAATTCCCATTAAATTCAATATTCCAATAGTTTTTTTTTTTTTTTTAAACAGGAACTGGAGAAAAACAAAACAAAACAATATTTAACTTCATATGGAAACTCAAAAATTCAGGATAGCTAAAACCAATCCTGCATTATAAAAGAATTGCTGGAGACATCACCATTCCAGATTTCAAATTGTACTACAGAGCTATAATAATAAAAACAGCATGGTGTTAGAGTAAAAAACGACATGATGATCAATAGAATCTAACTGTAGACCCAGATCTAAGTCCACACATCTACAGAAACTTGAGTTTTGGCAAGGAATCAAAAACACAAACTGAAAAAAAGGCAGCATCTTCAATAAATGGTACTGGTCAAACTAGATGGCCATATTGTAGAAGAATGAAAACAGATTTAGATCTATTACCCTACACAAAACACAATTCCAAATAGATCAAGAACCTCAACATAAGACCAGGTACCCTGAATCTGGTGCAACATAAAGTGGAGAACAGGCTTGAAGCTGTTGCACAGGAAAGGACTTTCTGAATAGAACACTGTTAACCCAGGCACTAAGACCAACAATTAGAAGATGAGACCTCATAAAGCTGGAAAGGTTCTGAATGGCAAAGGACACCACCATTCAGGCAAAGCAGCAGCCTACAGAACAGGAAAAGATCTTCACCAATTATGCACCTGATAGAAGGTTAGTATCTAGAATACAAAAGGAAAGAAAAGAAACCACCTGAACATCAAGAAAACAAATAGCCCAGTTAAAAAGTCATGTACAGAATTAAGCAAAGAGTTCTTGATGGATGAAACACAAATGGCTGGTAAACAACGCAATATGCAATATCCTTAGCATTCTTAACAACCCTGATAGGGAAATAGAAATTAAAACTACTTTTATCCATGGCAGAATGACCAAAATCAATCAAATGACAGATCATGCTATGATGGTGTGTGGAAAGGGGAACACTTTTTCATTGCTGGTGGGAGTGCAAACTGGTAGCCACTTTGGAAATCAGTGTGACAGCTACGAAGAAGTTAACATTTTGTCTACCTCAAGATGCAGCTATACCACTCTTAGGCATATACCCAAAGGACTCTATATGATACTACAAAAATACTTGTTCCATGATTGTTGCTACTCTATTTATAATAGCCAGAAATTAGAAACTGCCTAGATGTCCATCAACTGATGAAATGTGGTACACTTACACAAAAGTGGCCAAGAACCTGAGACTAGCTAGGCCACAGAACAAGGGGAAAACCTAGTACTATTTATTATTCTGCTTAAGGGACATACAGATAAAATGACTCCTAATGACATACTGTAATACCCATAGCTCAGAGCCTAGTTCAACCCACATCAGAGAAGCTTCTTCTTGTAGTAGATGGGAATTAACACAGAGAGCTACAACAGGACAAAGTGTCTGAAACAAAAGGCTTGAAGCACTCAGTCCTAAATGGGATGTCTTTATCAAAGCCCCTCCCCTTTAGGCTTTAAAGTGGAAAAGGAGGCAGAAGAATTATAAGAACCAGAAGTAATGAATGACTGAGGGAAGGTCTTGAGGGACAACAGGATTGGTGCACACCTGAGCTCACTGTAGCAGCATGTCCAAACCTTGCATAGAGTCAAGCCAAGAGGGGTCCTACCCCTAACGAAGAAGCTATCTGCAACTAATCCCTCTGACAAAGGAAAAAATAGTTTTCTCCATAGAATCTCCCTGGGCATATCAACTACACTCCAAAGCAGGCCCCATGCTCAGGAAGAGTTGGTTAACACAAAGGGGACTCAATAATACTTTTGTGGACTTTTTCATTTTGCTTTGCTTTACATTTTTCTGTATTATTGGTCTTTTGCTTTTTGTTTTATCTCCCCCCGCCAATTTCTGGTGTTTGTGGGACTTTTTTTGGTGTGTGTTTATTTTCCTTCTTTTTTTCAAAGAGAAAGAGAAAAAGAACACAACATTGGGTGAGTAGGAAAGTATCTGGGAAGAAATCATCAAAACACATCGTATGAAAAATATTCCCAAATATTGTCTATAAATGTTTTTTTTTTCATTTAAATGGACTTGGTTATATAAAATAAATTTAAAAAAGGGAAAAAAAGAAAAAAAACTATATTTTTTTTAAAGAAAGAAACCAAGTGTGGGAGGCATGTGCAAACAGAGTCAGCAAAGGCCTGTATGTGTGTAGTTTATAGATGATAATATTATAAAGCTCCTATTACTTTAGGGGCTCTGATTATTTGTTCTTTTTTATGAATATTTTATTTGGAGATAAGAAAACACGAATGCAAACATGGTGTCCTTTGAAACCTCTGGAGCTGTGGTTATAGCTGTGAGCTGTGTGCTGTGAGCACTGGAAACCTAATGCAGGTCCTCTGGAGAAGCAGCCCTGCTCTCAACCACTGAGCTCTCTCCAGCCACCTGTGACTTTTCTGAGTCAGCTGAGAAGGTCCTGGAGTGAAAGAACACCAACAGGTTCTGTGGCAAATAAACTCCAGGGGAGTAAGGTCATAAAGTAATCAGAGGACAAGGTTGGAAAAGTCAAGAGAAAGAAGGTGGTCTGAGCCACACTATGAAGGGTGGAGTTTGTGCAAATAGGTTAGAATTGGGCATTTACAAAGTGGATAGTGGTGAATTTGATGAAATGTAGGATGGTGTTGAGAGTTTCTATTCATTACGGATGGGTCACTGTGAACCCATGATACATTTTTAGCTTTGCTATTTTCTGGTGACAAGTACAAAAAAAAAAAAAAAATAATACTAATTGGCAGATAAACAGTCCCTGAAGTTCAATGTAGGATCTGAAAATGAAGATCAAGGAGGCGGAGGAGTGGCAGATGGAAAAACAAGAAAGATTGATACCCTGAAAATTAGTATTTGAACAATGATCCTTGTAAAGGACCCTAGAACAGTGTCTGTAGGCTAACAAGATGGCTTAGCAGGTAAAAGTTCTCATCACCACACTTGAGGATGAGTTCATTCCCTGGGTCCCTTATATTGGAAGCAAAGAAATTACTCCCACAGTTGTCCTCTGACCTCCACAGGCATACCATGGCATGTGTGTGACACAAATACACAAACACATACAAAATGAAAATGTATTATAAAAACAAAGGCTTTTAAAAAATAGTGATTGTACTGAATGGTGGTGCATGACTTTAATCCCAGCACTTGGGAGGTAGAGGCAGGTTAATCTCTATGAGTTTGATGCCAGCCTGGTCTATGTAGCTTGTTTCAGGAAAACTGGGGCTACATCAACACTGACTAGACAGACAGACAGACAAAATGCTACTGTGAGGTGGTGGTGGTACACACCTTCAATCCCCACACTTCGGAGGCAGAAAAAGGCAGGTGGATCTCTGTTAGTTCAAGGTCAGCCTGTTCTACCGAGTGAGTTCCAGAACATCCAGAGAAACACAGAGAAACCCTGACTAGGGCTTTGAGAGATGGCTCAGAGGTTAAGAGCACTGGCTGCTTTTCCAAAGGTCCTGATTTCAATTCCCAGCAACCACCAGGTGGCTCACAACCATCTATAATGAGATCAGGTATCTTGTTCTGGTGTGTAAGCATGCATGCAGGCAGAACACACTGTGTGCATATTAAATAAATAAGTCTTAAAAAAAAAAAAAAGAAAGAAGAAAACCCGGTCTTGAAAAACCAAAATAATAATAATAACTAGTGATTGCTAAGGGGCTTTACCAGGTTTTCTATGTGTTCATTTCAAATCTACTTATTTTAAAAAATAAAATAAAAAACTGAACAACACATTTTTTCCAACAGGTAATCACTGAACTAATTACTTCTTAATATGTTTTCATCACTGGGCCTTCTGGTTCCTCCTGCAATGTGTCACTGAAGTATCAAAGAGGAAGATGAAATCAAAAAAGTTCAGCTAGAGGAGCACAGTCAAGGAAGTCAGCTAGGATACAAAATGCAGTTATTAAACAATCTATTAAATGGATGGGTTGAGAACTATCACTAGTGTAACTAGGAACAAGAAGGACAACAGGACTGAAGGGTGTGATACACTCAGATCCTTTACCCTCTGCTGCTATGACTTTGTTGTTGGTCCTGTAATTGTGTATTTTTAGATGCTTACCCTTTGCATTTTTGGGATGGCACTTACCAAAGTGTGAACATCTCCCTCGCTAAGGGTGAGATCCCGCTTGGTGACAAGATGATGCCGTTCTCCTTGTCCAGTCGCTGTGTCATTCTTTTCGGGTGCCTGCAAAGATGAGACAACAGATTACGTTATAAAACACTGGCTAAATGATAACAGGAAAACATTTCACATAGACATTTGGACATGAATACTTAGCTATGATTAGCATACAGTCCATGAAAATGTGGGATGACAGAAAATTTACCACTTAATGGTTAGTGAACAGGAAAGACAGAAATTAAGATATCAAAGTCATTAATGTTTCCTACAAATAGCCATTAATGTACATAACCTTTTCTAAACCATTGGGTTTTTTTTTTTGTTGTTGTTGTTTTGTTTTGTTTTGTTTTCCCATGCATCCCTAGAGGGATACTGATACCAACACTGAAAAGAGCCTGAAATTCTACTGCATATCTGTGATGAGTGTCATTAGGAGTTTTGAGTCTAATTTGTTTAGGAGTTTGGAAACAGAGTGTTACTATATAGAACAGAATGTCCTTAAACACAAAATGTAATCCCAGACAGACTAAAACTTGTTATGGGTTACAGGTATGTGCCACCAAGCTTGGTTTATTTTTCTTTCCTAAACTTTCTTTAGACTATATATAATGTAATATTCTTACGTGAATATACATTCTAGAACAAAGATCAATAGCATTCTATAAAATGACATTTTCTTAGACCCTCTAAATCCAGTTACAAGTAAAAAAATTCCAAAGACAGAAATTCTAACAATAAAACAGCCTTATGTAATACACTCAATAAATTGAGATGCAGTGGGCCCTGATCAAGAATAATTCTTGAGGCTTACAGAACACTCAAACATATGATTCACTATGATTCACAGAACTGATTCTTACTTGCCAGGCATTGGTGGCGCATGCCTTTAATCCCAGCACTTGGGAGGCAGATCTCTGTGAGTTCAAGGCCAGCCTGGTCTGCAGAAAGAGTTCCAGGACAGGCTCCAAAGCAATACAGAGAAACCTTGTCTCAAAAAAACAAAACAAACCAAAAAAAAAAAAATGATTTTTACCAATTACATAAATGGACTAATTTTTATTGTCCTAGTTATGAACTAAAATACTTCTTGCAGAGTTCATACATGAGAATAGCTGTTTTTGTTTCATGTGTTTCATTTATATGTTTACAAAGAAAATAAAAAGTCATGGTAATGAAGGGCTGCTTAAAGCACACTACCTTAATTCTCAAAGGGTTGATCTCTGTATCTGAGGTACAATTCATGGGCCCATCAATGTCGTAATGCAGGATATACAACAAAGTATTATTATTGTACTTGTAAGGCCACTGGAGATTCAGGATTGCCTTGCTGAATGAACTTGGGCCATTGTTTCTTAGCTAATAAGAAAAGACAAATGTAAACACATTGGATGAAGATGAGTTCGACTTTCTTTCTACTAAGTTATCGCTAGAAATTGTATCAACAATGGGATCTGATTAGCAGCAGTTTCTACCGCTAGACTTCAAACATGGCCATTATACACAAAAGTCAAAACAATGTTTATTTGTCAAGCACAGAAAGATCTACCACAACGAAAATGTCAAGGAAATAGTTAGGATGCTGACTTAATAACCTTTGAATAGACAATACAACTTTGCTTAATTACGGGCATTTCCAGTTTCTAGTCAGAACTACAATATACTGCGGAGCAGACCCAAAGATTATTTTCTTTGACTCCGATAGAGTTGATTTTGCTTCCTATAAACACTTAAATATAACTGTCTATAAAAATGAACTTACAAGCAATACTTCTGGTATATGTTCAAACTATACAAACTCCACATAAAAATATTACATAGGATAGGTTTTAAAAGAAGTTTAGCTGCTCTCTCCACCACACCATCCCCCCTTCACTAGCTTTCTGCTGATTCCAATAACTGCAAACCTCATAGATGTGCTGAACAACAGGCCCAACATCTTCTTCAGTCTCTGGGTTTTCCTTGTACTCCCAATTTGGAATTGGAAGAAAGATGTGATCTGGACTTGAGACTCTAAACAATGACCAAAGAAAACCTACCATGAATATCAAACAGCATAGTCAGTTCATTTTCCCAAGTATTCAGTAATAAAATCAGACCTAATTTTAAAAAGCCTCAAATGAAAAACTTGTGAATGAGCAAGACATTTTATGCATAAAATCTACTGTTATTAAATCAGCATGCATCAGATGAATCAGTAAGAAATTGCCACGAAAGCTCAAGCAACATATTGTAAGACTGCCTTTTGAAACACCTTCAGGGCCTTATCTCTACAGGGTCCTCTGCCTTGGGAAACCAGCATTAAGCCAGAGTGGCTGCCCACAGAAAGCCAGGGTCTAGTAGCTATGAGTCAGAAGCAATCACAATGCGATATTCAGTGTCAGACTATGCTTACCCTCTTATCTCCACAGCAGCCAAAACAGCAAGGTCAACTTTATAAGACACAACTGGGCTGACATTGTCAAAAGAATTTGAGCTGAAAAAGGAAAAAAAAAAAAAAACATGCTCAGGACTGAATTCTGCACATTTATCATCAAAGTTATAAAAGGGAAAACTCAGGGGGAACTAAAACTACAATTCAAAGCAGCATAGAAACTGAAGTTCTACCAATCAAGCAATTACTTTAATTACTATGTAATTCAAAGCTGAAGATACATCTTATTTCCTAATGTTTAATTTTGTTTTATAAACTCAAGTTAACAATACAATCATTTGTATAATTATAATACAGTACTGAAATTTTAATCCACATTATTCCATCTTTATAGGGTAGTATGTAATGTACTTATAAGGAAAGATGTTTATTTTATCCTAATACATTGTTTTCATACCTTTGGATTTTCAAGTCAAATTTCACAGAAGTGTCCATTTCTGATTGCTGGTGCACGCTAAAACGAAGACCAGCAAGCAACTGGAGAGGGGAAAGGTAACAATGGTCAGGGTCTCATTTAAAACAGAAACTTTGAATTTGACATCCAAATAAAAAGACAAGTTCTAAAATATGCTTTTTATGAGTTTGGGGTAAAAATGAAAAAAAAAAAAATAACTACATCTGATTTTTCCACTGATGTCATGATGGAGGCTATTAACAATTATCAATTATAATCATACCTCCCTATTGATATTGTCTTTCTAAACATTACAATGTTTGTTTTTGCAATAAAAACACTGCAATTCAGTATAAGACTTGCTATAGGAAGCAGACAACTGACTTAAGAAGCCAGACAGGAAACACTGGAGGGTTTACCAGTATACAGAGTTAGAGGAATTGGATGAAAAGCAGAATGTCTTCCCTCACATCTCTCATAGTCCCCTTCCCCAGCATTTAACATGCTAAGCCCTGGAACAGAATACTGATTAATTTTACAGAAAACAACACAACTGAAAGTATAAGACAGCAGCCTTCTTGGGGATCACATAAATGACATGTAAATATGGTCCCTCCGTGTGACTGCATCCACATTACAAAGTCTGGAGTTAGCTACTTAGAAAAACGAGGAACTAAAGTAGCTGTGAGCTAGAAAACCAGAGAGAATGAGAAAATAATGAGCTCTATCCAGAATAATGACTACCTGTGGAAACACACTTAAAGAAGCATGTAATGTGTAGACCATGGCAACAGATCTGCATGTAACTGTCATCAGTATACCCCTCTGTGAATCTGCTTGGAAAGATCACATGCACAGCCAAGTTTTCCTCAATATCAGTAACACACAAACCCTGATTCCTTTCCAGGGGACTTGGGAAGAGCATCACTGAGTACTTGGCTTCCTGCTGTAAAGCTCCCTGCTCACCATCAGAAGGGGAGCTTCACCCAGCACTTAGATGATGACAGACACCATCTCACCTAAGAGTAACAGGCCTCAGTGTTTGCCAGGGTGGCTTTCAAGGCTCCATAGATACCCTAGCCGCTCAAAATACTAAAATTGTAATTTTAGTTCTTAGTTTAAATCATGTTTTCATTTATTTACAGATTTAAGGCAGTGTGAAGAGAAGTTTATGGAAGAGTATGCAGTCACACCTGTAATTTTAGTATCATAGAAAACTGAACAGAACCTGGCTAATAACTAAATTCTAAATCAAAACTAATTCAAAGATGCACCTTGAGGGCAAGTGAAATGGCTCAGTGGATAAAGGCACTTGTTACCAAATGTGATGACCTCAGTTCAATTCCCAGATCCTACCATGGTAGAAGAGAATCAATTCCCAATACTTGTCCTCTATCTTCCACACAGTGTGTATAGCATACATGCATGCATGTGTAGACATAACACACATACACACAATAAATAAGGAAATAAAAATAAGGATACTGCCTAGAACTGCCATGATGATCCATTCCACCCTTGTAATCAGAGCTCTTAGGGAGCAAAGCCAGGAAGAATGTGAGCTTGTGACCATTCTGACCTTACATAGCAAGATCCTATCTTAAAAACACAGTCAGACAGTGGTGGTACATGCCTTTAGTCCCAGTGCTTGGGAGGCAGAGGCAGGCAGATCTCTGAAACCAGCCAGCCTGGTCTACAGTGAGAGTTCCAGGGCAGCCAACAATACACAGAGAAAGCCTGTCTCAAAAAACCAAACAAAACAGGGCTAAGTATGTAGCTCAGAGAAATGTCACTTTCCAGGCATGCTCAAGGTCCTGGGCAAAGTCCCTAGCACTACACACAAAAACAAACAACTATAACAAAAACCTAATTTATTTTGAAATTACTATAAACAAACCTAGAGAAAAAAAAATACTTATAGGGAGAAATAGTTATAATCTGTTTGTGAGGAGAAAACTCAATTGAATTAAAATGCCTTACTTGAGTTCCAGCCTTCATTGGGTTTCCAAGGTCACACACCACCTGCCGGGTTTGGTTTTCTGTCTTAAATGCACAGGAAAGTCTTGCTAAGGCCTTTGATAGACAAAAAAGAAAATAAAGATGAGTGGGGTTGAGGGAATGTCGAAAGAAAATTAATAGTTGCCAAACTACAAAGTCCCTACCCAATACCAAGTAGATACTTAAATTCCCTTTTTTATGAAGCAAATAAATCTACTTGAGCAAAAAGAAAAAGAAGCCAGAACTATGGACAATTGCTACACGTAAATGTAACAACTGCTACACATAAATGTAAACACATTGGAAAGATCCCTGAAGAACTCCGATTGGGATAACAGTGCTCCGACTAATAATATGATAGACAGGGTTAGAGACTTCGTCTAGCTGACCTCATTTTTCAGATGCTTGGCTGGCAAACCTAATAATTCCATATCAATTTATTATTCAAAGTATTAGACCTGAAAGGAATTATGTTAGATATGCACTCTATTGTCTAGCAATCTAGTCTTAGACAGAATGGCCAGGCTTGGCCTTCACTAAATAGTGACTACCTCATTAATGTTAATAAGACCTGGGAGTTTGCTTTGATTTTCAAAGAGGCAGCTGCTTACTTCATTGTTTCGGACAACCCCGATGAAATCAGCCTGCGGTGGGATGGAAACGATGAGCTCCGCTTCATAGGCCCCTTCCCCTTGATTCTGCGCCTTCACAGTCAGTGTCAGAGGGTTGTCATCCCCAATATAGATCTTCTTTTGATCACTGGAAGTTAATTCAAACCCAACAGTGAAAAAAAGACTTCATGGGGAGCGTGTGACTATTCAAAGAGATAAGTCTCAGGATAGTTCAAGAAAATAGCACACAGGGTATAAATTCAGTGGCCTTCTCTGTGACTGAATGCTGATGCCAGCCACATGCCACTGCTGTCTACGTGCAATACCAAAGTCACATTATATCTGTGCATGTGCTTCTAATTCCTAGATATTCTTGCGAAGAGATGAACTGCTGTTTTGTCATAATTCTCATGACAGTCTTCCCTGTGTCACATCATCAAGTGGTAAGGGCATTCCCCATTTCAGAGCATGTCCACAAGGAAGTGCATCGAGTCAATTATTAGGACTCATGGCACAAACAAAGCTAATGGTCATAAATCTACCAAGCCAGGCACCCAGTGAAAACACAGTGGGTATTTTTTTAGCCATGGAATTAATGGCTTTATTGAGAAGAAAAACATGAATTATCCTTTACTGTGTTTCTCCTTAAAAACTTCAGCATTTTGGATAGAAAAGTGTGCTTTTCCATTTAAATGTCTTGTATTTTATATTTACTGTGTGAAGTAAAACTTACCTATCTACAGAAACTTCCAGTTTAGGTTTACAGACATTGTCTTCCCCACAGTCAAGTAGAATATGAGCCTAAAAGAAAAATGTGTTGTTATTTTCTACCTGGACCCTGGCCACTCATCTTTAAATATGTCAGTGTAGGTTATCAAGAATAAGGAAACAAAACAAAAAAACAAATATATATATATATATATATATATATATATATATATATATATATATAATGAAATAGAAGTGCTTAGAATTTTGTATACTTCAAATTAGCTGTTAACATTTTGGAATAAAATCTAGTATAAGAAATGAGGGTTTGTTTTAATTGTGCTCCTGTTTGAACTGTCTGAACTGGGACAAAATACACATCCTTGTAAAAACTCCTCTTTAAGACAGTGACCTCCACTGTAATCACAGAAACTGGCTGCAAACATCAAGTAAGGAGAAAATGGTCAAAATAAGCCCAGCATGAGAAAGATACAAAACAGAAAAGGCAAGACAAGACCAGCAAGCAGTAAAATGATAAAACAGAAGAAAGTAGCAAAAAGTCTAAACTTGTTTTTTCTGGAACCAGCCAAGGTAATGTGCTAACAATGCAGTGTGAAATAAATAAATAGATAGATAGATAGATAGATAGATAGATAGATAGATAGATAGATAGATAAATAATTTAAAAACCTCAAAAGGAAGAATGCAAGAGCACAGATCTTAGAAGAAATCATAGAAGGAACAAAAACATGAAGGGGGAAAAAAAGAAAGTAAAGGCAAAGTCATTCTTAGTTTACTTGTTGCTATTTTAGTGACACTTTGTCTAGAATAATTCTAAAACTATAAAGAAAAAGTAATCATAGCCCACATATAAAAATGCATACACTAAGGGATAAATGAAAGGCTGTTTCTGAATAAAGTGCCCCAATGAAACACGCCTACTAAGAAGCTCCGGTGTTAAATGAGCTGTTGATACAACACCCACCCACTAACCCAGACTGATAATGGTTTGATTAAGACTCCCTGAAGCAGTGGCCCAGGTGATCCAACATCCAAAACAGCTGAGACCATGCAACCTCACAGGACACTATAGCCAGGATTTGGCCAGAATTCTAGCTTTTCTCAGGATCCCCTTGGGATTGACAACACCCCCAAACAGCAGGAAGCAATTTGGAGAGAACAACATCCAAATTCCCAAATATTGTTTATAAATGTTTGTTTTTATTTAAATGTGGTTGTTTATAGTTAATGATCACAGTTAAACTCTTAAGAAAAAAAGGGAATATGATATAGAAATGAATACACTGGTATGGATTTTGGTTTATTGATACAAATTTAAGATCAATTTTGTTATATGCATATTTTCTACTCTTTTTTAGATATTGTTTTTATACAGCTCATTAAAAATGTAGTGTATAATTAAATACAGATTATAGATAGTAAACTATAATAGTGAAAACTTACATTAGTTAGGTTTTCTAGATATACAGAGATATATTTTAAATAAATAGATATTCTTTAAAAACTTTCAAATGCCTATAAAATATGGCATTTAAAAAGGTTTATTAGTGTTTCTCATGACAATGAGACACAATTACATCAGAGAGGAAGATGGACATCGAAGAAACTCCTTATGGAGTTTGTCTTCAATGTAGCAGGGATAGCTACTTGGACAAAGAACCGTCCTTGCCTCAACTGCTGACAGTAAGCACACTGTCCAAACTATAAAAGTAGGTTACAAAGGAAAGTGACTGCTGAACTTGCCAAGAGACAGGATTATCCTTCAGAGTCCCTGCTTTACAGAAAAAAGCAACTGAGGAACTTTGCCAATAAAAAACAGAACAGATCTTCAAATTTCCTACTTTATTAAAAAGTCTGCCAGACAATGTAGCCTATGGACTGAAGATGGATGCCCCAATGTTACAGAGGAACTTGGGTGACTGTCCAGGCAGCAAGACATCTCTGTCAATTCTAGAGTTTATATATTATCCTTCTAGGATCTTTGATGGAGTTGAAGACAGACAGTTATGACTATGGTTTTCCTTAGTTATAATAACAGATAAGTTACATATAAAACTTTACTCACTAATATAGGATAAATGATAGAATACTTCCTTTAAATTTTGTCAAATATTAGTGAACTAAATATTGTTAACTATAATTCTTGCTTGATAACCGGTGTGTGTGTGTGTGTGTGTGTGTGTGTGTGTGTGTGTAGTTAAAGTTAAAACCTTCCTTTTTATTTAAACCGAAAAGAGATGATAGGGGATGTCCTTCTGTATGCTGTGAATATATGTTTCTCTAATTGATTGATGAATAAGGCTGTTTTGGTAAATGGACTGGCAGAATGTAGCCAGGCAGTAAGTATAGGTGGGGCTACCAGACTAGGAGAATTCTGGAAGAGGGATGCAGAGAGTGAGTCACCAGGGAGACTATGTAACTGCTGAGGGAGCAAGATGTCAGGGCATCACATAGTAAGCCAAGACTATGTGGAGATAAACAGATTAAAAGATATGGGTTAAGAGACAGTAAGAAGCCTGAGCCATCAGCCAAACAGTTCATAATTAATATAATCCTTGTGTATTTATTTAGGACTAAACGGCTGCGGGACCAGGCGGGACAGAAAGGTGTATGTACACCCTATGAACATAAAATAAAATAAAGAGCAAAGATAGGAAATAATAATGTTTAAAAAGAGATGTTTTGTAAAGGTTTTTGCAAAATTATCAAACTGTGTTGCTTTATTTAAGGAATCGCTTTTGGGGAGCCAAGGAAGCTCTGAGGGATCATGTAAAGAACGATAGAGTCCTGTGTGAATATATATTGTTTGACATGAGCATGGCTGTGTCAAGGGCCAATGCCTTTGTCAGGTAGGAATGACAAAGCCTTCCCCATATAGGTCAGACTCAGAACTGGCAAAGCCTTCCTCTGCTCTCAGTGCAAAAATTGGCAGTATGTAAAAACTAGCAACTGCAGCCTCCTCCTCCCAGATGTTTACAGCCTGAGACTGCTCACCTATAGAGACCCCTATAAAACTAGCTAACCCTCCCTATCTGCTGTACATAACAATCACACTGAGGTGCTCAGTTATTGTGTGTTGGATGGTGCCACTCCACCAGAGTGCACACAACCCACCTGACTCCAGCTTTTCTGTACATGTATGCTTGTCTGTCCTTCATTTTCTCACCACGCCCAGTCAAGTTTCCAGGACCAAGGACTCAGCAATACTCTTATATGATGTGTACATAAAAGTACATATATATACTTTTTTCAACACAAAATACACACCCAAAATAAAAGAGGTATTGTAGATGTTTAGTAAGTATTAAAAACTGCATACAAATAAACTGGTATTTTGTTGTTTTCCTTGGATCTCTTTACTATTCTACAAAGTGTGACCCTGTCTCCCAGTGCATATGTCTACTGAAAAGGTATAAAGACCTCAGATGTAAATATTCAGATTATTTCTCCAGAGGTTTGTCTAAATATCTACAACACTATTAAAATAATCTCTTATGACATTTAAGAACACAAACTATAAAACCATAACAAAAGATCAAAGGGTGAGATTGGGAAGCGCATTACCTGACGACTGACATTGGCAGGAGTGAACTGGTTCAGAATGGGTTTCAAGCCTGTTTCTTCAGCAGCCGTTCTATGGTCCAACCGATACTCCATAAAAATAGTGATGGGAGTGAGTTTGTCTCTAAATTCAGATTCATCCTAAAACAAAAGAGCTTCAAGTTAAAGATGACATCAACCTAAACTGTTTAGAGAAATCCACAACCAGAGAAGCCACAAAATAAGCTAAATTCATCATTAGAACCTTCAATTCTAACAACATCTGAGATGCTATGGTAACCATAGTAAGCATGAAATGAAACTCACATGGTTGTTCAGTAAGAACTATTCATCAAGTTTTGTTTCATAACATAAAATCTGATTCACAAAAAACACCTATGAAGCACCTTAACTGTCAACCAAAGTTCTCTGGAGAAACCAAACATGTACATAATAGCTTGTCAACAGCTGACCTCTACCAATTATGGAGAAATGTAATACTGCAGATAAAGAATCACCTATAAATCCAGGCATTTGGCTTGTTTCTATGGTTGCTAGATGAAACTACTGGAATTCGTCTGTGAGCCTAGTGGGTGTCTCACCTCCAGCAACCAAAGAACGAAATAAAGATCTGAATCCTGTAGATTTTCCTCCCTTATTAAAGATGACATTACAGATGGTGTTACACTGTCCTTTTTATCTCACCTACCTGATGAACCCACCAAGCTCCCTTTGTTCTGTGTCTGTAAAAACACACACAACACAGCACAGCCTACACTACTCCAGGGGAGAAGGGTTCCAGGCTATGGGCATTTACATTCCCAGAATAAATTATGTTCTTATCTTCTTTAAAAAGGAGCTGATATTTTATGTCAGCATGGTAAAAGTGGCACTCAGGCTACTACCCAACATAGAAACAGAACAACACAGTTGTGGCTTTAAGTTGTCCATATCTTCCTTTCCCTCTCAACCTTCTCTTCTCTCTTCATCGTAAGGGCTATTGAAATTTCAGTTACTAGTCCTTACTTGCTCTACTGACACCCAGTTTTCAAGCTTTGTCTTGACATCTTTTGTGATCACTTCTTTTATGATGGCTGATATTTATATACCCAATTTGCTGGTGCCACATTTTATATAGCTCTGATAAGCACTGTATATGTCACCGGGCGGTGTATTCTTCAGTTTTGTTTCTCTTTTGGCTAACTGGAAATGAGCTCATACATAATCTATGATTCTCTTTCTGTCTAACACTCTAAGCCTCATCCATGTATTCAAGATGAATCTTCACTTCAGGTTAATGTGTTATCTTAGGGTAGTTTATCCATTCTTCTAAGACTACTTGTGCTATTTGGATTTGGTTTTATCATCACAAAATGGTTGCAATGATGATTCTTATAAATCGTGACAAGATTCACCAGTTCTGTGTTACCACACTATTTACCTTCCCAAATCTTCATAACTACTAAAGGATTATCAGCAACAAATGAATTTCCATCGATCATACCGTGACTAGTTAACAAACATTGGCAGATTTCACTAAAATTTAAATTTGGATTGGTTCACATTCATGACTGAAGAAGCTTGCTTCTCCTGTCTCTTAAGTCCTGGCTGTTTCTTCATCTCAGAGGGTATTGGTTTTGGTTTTTCTGCAGCTAAGTAAGACGGTCAGGTTGTTTTCCTTCTTTATTTAGGTAGAAAATTTTCCTTCTAGTTCTTAGTGTTAGTCCACCCTAGAATGAATTCTCTTTGATTCTGCCTATTGATTTGGTGGCTTGTAAAACTTCATAGAACATTAGAAAAATTCCAGCTTACTACTCCCTTGAAGTGTGTTTACTATAAGAAATAGCTCATTCCTGAACTGGAATATTCCAGTAAAAAGATTCCTTTCTTTTTTTTTTTTTTAATGGGTATTTGGGATGTGGAGACAGGAGTATCATGAATTCAAGGTCATGCTCAGCTACAAAGTAAGTTCAAGGCCGACCATGACAACAGGAGACACTGTCTAAAAAAGCAAACAAACCCAAAAACTATTTCCAATGAAAGTTCCATTTTTAAAATAGCATTAAGACCATACATATAAAGATATGAGTATATATCATATAATGATAATATATGCAATATAATATATATTCATTATATATAATAAGTATACATAATATAAAGGTATGAGTGATCCTACAGCTATTGGGTTTTCATATCTTCTTATGACAGGCTTGTTATGTGTGTTTAAGAATTTTCTTTTTTTAAGCCAAGTTTTCCTATATGTTGGTACAGAGTTATTCAAGGAATTCTTTAATTTGTCTCAATTTTATCTATCATTATGTCCCTTTTCAATTTCAAATTTTATGTGTTTATTTTTTCAAATTTGTCAAACATGTAAATTAAACAACATTTAAAGTACACATACATTTTTCCTATATTCAATTTCCATGATTCTGTTGTGATGCACAGAATTTTCAAGATAAGCAGATATAAATAATTCTCCATTATAATTACTTCACCTAACATCACATTTCTGTTATTTTTCAGAAAAATCACTTTTTCAACTTATTTTTCTATTACTGATTTCTAAGTGTTCACCACAGATCTATGTTATGTGGTAGAGGGAGGTACACAATTTTCTGAAATAAGCCTAAGGGCTGGAGAGATGGCTTAGGGGTTAAGAGCACTGACTGCTCACCCAGAGGACGAGGGTTCAATTCCCAGCACCTACATGGCAGCTCACAACATCTGTAACTTCAGTTCCAGGGACTGGATGCCCTCTCCTGACCACCATGAGCACTAGGCATACACATGGTACACAGTCATATGTGGATGCAACACCAACACCTGCATATTGCATGGGAAATAAGATTCTGGGACACAATATAGGCTGAATGATGTATATTCAGGGAGAAATCACACCAGAAAGAGATGACCGCTGTGGGTTCCCTCCCTAAGGATGCCCCAGCATGCTCTCTCCAACACGACAAGGAAGTAAGAGAGTGAGCTGGGGTCTGGAACTCCAGGCCTGCCCCCACAGATCATGCCTGCACCTGTCCCCATGCCCAATAACAGGTGCGGGCGGGGTGGATATCTCACTACACCTACATACATAAAATGTTCTAAAAGTAAGCAAGTAGAAGGTCTTACTCTTTGGGACATGCCTTTGAAGGGACTGTAGGGCGCTGCTGCTTCTCTGTCTCTTTACTTCCTGGCCACGAAATGTGAGATGTTTTGGTTGTTGTTTTTCCCTTTTTAATATAGATCTCAAGTGGAGAAAAATAGCTCATTAAAGAGCACTTGCTGTTCTTAAAGGAGCCCTTGTTGCGTCCCCAGCACCCACATGGCAGCTCACAGGTGATGTAACTACAGTTCCAGAGGAGTTGGTGCTTCCACAGGCACCAGATATACATGGCACACATACATCCATGTAAGTAAAACAATCACACACAGTAAGTAAATAAGATTCCTGCTTGATTGAACTCCACCTGGCTCCTAAACTGGATTGCAAGGGCCTTGCACTCCTTCATGCTGGGGTCAAGGTGTACCTCTGGGCCCGGAACCTTTTGTGTCAGGCAAGGATCAATCAAGTCTCAAACTGCAGAATGTCCCAAGTAAACCTCAATCCCTGGCTTTGGACTCCACCTCTTGTCTCAAACTAGACTCACACAGTAGTTTACAACTCATATTTCAAATTTGCCTGCTGGGGACTTTTAGTGGACTGCTTGCTTTCTGGACAAGATCCCAGCAATATTTAAGAAATAAATTTTTTCATGACTCAGTCAGAAATACCATAGTGGAAGGCCTCCTCAGTCACCCGTCTGACAGGGATAAACTATCTGCATTGACCTGTGACACTGGACAAGCCAATTTTCTCGGGTATATTTCTCTGAGCCTTTTATTTTGGCTAAACACCCATTTACAGAAAGGGAAAACCATATACACAAAAGAGAAATAAACTACAAGAAAGAGATAATGGGGACGAGTGTTTCTTACCCGGAGATAGGCGACCAGCTCCTCGCACTGCATCTGTCCCCCCTTGAAAACAGTCATGTTCTTGGAGTGCCCTGGGGACCTGTTATGGAGAAACAGTGCTCGTCGGATTGCTCCCTTTTGCTTGAGTTTATCCAAAAGAAGCTCCACCTGGAAGTCTACACAAACCAAAGCATTTATAACCAACACATTCCACGGGGGCAGGACACTGTCCTAGCAATCTAGAGTTTTTCTGGAAGCAGAGATACTCACTTCTGAAAAGTAAATTACTTCTAAATTCATTGAAATGCCTAAGCACTGTGGTGAGACAGCAACAAATTAATTCCAGAAAAGAATAGCCATATGATTCTCTTATCCCCCCAACAGTGACAGTAATGAAACTAGGTTATCAGAAGAAAAAAATGACTTAATTTAAGCTTTGGGAAGAACATCATGTAATGACTTAGAAGTAAATTAAAATTTTTACCATTGGATGAGGGGTGCAGATCGGTAGTAAAGTGTGTGAGACCCTCTGTTCCACCCACCTCACAGTATGCACAGCCACACACAACTTCTAATCCAAGTGTCTTGTCGATTTTGATAAGTACTGATTAATGTGCATCCAATATTGAGTACTATGAACCATTTATATCACTTGAAATGGTGTTTCCATAGTACCAACTGACTATCTCTCTCTCTCTCTCTCTCTCTCTCTCTCTCTCTCTCTCTCTCTCTCTCTCTCTCGGTTTGTTTCAAGACAGGGTTTCTCTGTGTAGCTTTGTAGACCAGACTGGCCTCAAACTCAGAGATCCATCTGCCTCTGCCTCCCGAGTGCTGGGATTAAAGGCATGCGCCACCACTGCTCAGCAAATACAGCACAATTTGTAAATTTCTTTAAATGGTTAATTTCGAATACAGGCATATCCCATTTCTGGTCTTGATAACTACTTTCCCTTATCCTTGCAGCAATGAGTTCATTCCAGCACAGGCTTCTTGGGGCCATTTCCAAGTGTAAAACAGGTCCAGGGACACCTTGTTCTCTCATTCCCCTGAGGTCTCTACATACATCTGGCCAGACGGGGAGATCCCACTTGCCATCCTCTGTTCATTCCCACTGAGAACAGCCAGCTCTCTTAGCATTCACCTTCTCCACCCTATCACCATGCAATAGCAGAAGTCACTATCCACTCAGCTGACCAACCCACTCTCAGAAATACATCCATCACTTCAGTAAAGGAGGCATGCTGTTGGCTCCACACACTGAAGGCAGCAACACAGACCTGTCCCCCTGTCTAAGGAAGGCTAAAGCCTTCCCCCAACACCCCCTCATGTCTCAGTAGGGTATAGAATCACAATGAGTGTCCTCCAGTCCTCATTTACCTCACATCATTAACTGCTCAACATTCTAAATGCTGCCTATTTACCATTCTTACTCTCACAATGTCCAGTAACAAATACACTGCATCTGAACTGGCCTACGAGCTGCTGAAGAAAGTACTTATATATAATTATGCATCTGAAATGTCTTCAGCATGAAAATTCAGATTAAAATGATAACAACTACTTGAGTAACTGACGGTGTGTCCTGAAACATAAGCACTGTACCTGTAGTACCATGAACACACTGATTCTGCACAAGATACTCACTGAGCCTCTTCGGAAGAGCTCCTTTGCCATCCGCCTTTAAGCAGAACCTGACATTAAAACTGTAAGAAAAATGTTTACAAATGTAAGTCCAACAATCTAATTTAGGTGTAGTGTTGAGTACCACCTAAATTCACTTTTCTAATGCAGCTATCTCTTGGAATCCCGGGTGGTTGGGGGTTGGTTCTAGGAACTGGTTGTCTACTCCCAGGGACCAAAATCATCAGTGAACCCTGAAGAATCAGTGGAGACTGAGGGCTCTGACATAAAAGGGTACTGTGTCTGCGGAGAGCTGACATCCTCCGACTTTAAATCACCCACAGAATAGTTACAATACTTAATACAAAGGAAATACTATGTGAACACCAGCCATATCACATTTTTAAGGAATGACAGGAAAAAAAATTGGCACATATCCAGTACAAATACAATGTTTATTGTATATTTCTAGCCACAGTTGGTTGAACTGACAAATACAGGTGCAGAGAACTGATACAGAGTCTGCACTACAAGACACTTTTGTCTTCCTGCATGTCTTAATACTCTTCCATGTATTATGTATGTAAGTGTCAGTGTGTCTGCGTGTAAGTGTATGTACACATGCAGGGAAGAGCTCGCCTGTGTGTACACATATGAAGGTCACAAGTCCTCTATCATTCTATGCCTTTGTTTTGAGATTTGGTCTCTTATTCACTGAAATAGGACGTAAAACATATTTGTCACTGTGTACCACTGTCCTTTAGAAAATGGTGTTGTCTCTCCATACACTGCTCTAGATATCCTATTTGAGCCTTTTAATTTTGACCACATTAGCAACATTAAAGGGCGCATGTGGAGGGGAGCAGTAAAAACAAAGCTAAAGTCTTCACAGTGTGGTTGCCAACCAATAAAACAAAGGGCTAGTGTTACATAGTGTTTAACCTAATTCAGTGGAAAATAAGAACTGAACACTCTCAGTGTTTACAGTAATAATTCAAGAAAGCCAGGAAAAGGCCCTCCTCAGACTCCTTTCTATACTATTCCCATCTGCTCATGTGTCCGTTACACCCATAAGTTCTACCCAGCTTTTCTGTGTAAGGACCAGGAAGAGTGTTCTAAAGACAGGATGCTCTTTGTGGCTCTCATTATGAGTGTCAAGACTTTTTATAAGTTAATTTTTATAGTTGACATACATGAAAACTTTTAAGTTTATAAAATAACACAAGTCCACCTAAATACAAGATAACTATAGGACAGTTGAATGAAAATGTAGCAAAAATTGTGAAAATTTCATATGCAAGACAAAAGAGAAATTATGATATAGAGAACTCAGACACTGGATTTATGAAAATACACTGTGTGTGTGTGTGTGTGTGTGTGTGTGTGTGTGTGTGTGTGTAACGAACATATGGCCAATGAACTATTAGAGAACAATAATTTCGTAACATTTGCATATATGAAGTCTGAGAAAAACATAAATTTTCAGAATGTCCTGTTTAGAATTTAATTAAAATGTATTGAGGTATGCTTACCTTTTCCTTCTTTTTAAATCTATTTTTTAACCATATATAATACATTGAAATTATTTTCACATTAGCTTGTACTTAGATAGCTTTCCTGAAACTTGACTTTCATAATCTAATCTGTGGCATAGACATAGGCTGTGTTCACAGAAACTGCCTCAATATTTCAACCCTGCCACCTAACTCTGTGTTGCTGGTATAGCAACTGAACTATTAATCTTATTCACAACTACTATTAAACAAAGATCCTTACCAGGAAACTTTGAGAGTTGTCCCAGGCAACGGACAGATTTTATTGTCTTGATTTAAAATGCTAGGGTACACTTCAAGGCCAGCATTTACAGTGACAACGGGTCTGGCTCTAGTTTTAAATTTAAAAAGTGGGAAGGAGAAGAAGAAAAGGGGAGAGAAAATGTTATTTAAAAAATTTAAAAATAGACTGATAAAATCTCATTCACTCCAGATGCAGTTCAATGCCCATTTCTGTTGGTAACGGCAACAATTGTACTAGCCTAATTGTGAACATAAGATGGCCAACTGTTTCATTTTACCCACAACTGACCTAATTCAGTCCTACATCCTGGGAATTGCTTTACTCCAGGCAAGAGAGACAATTGGTCAGCCTGTCTGAATTCAGCACAATGAAGCACAATTACGAATAGCTAATTACAGGGACACAGTGAGGAATAAACCCACCTGTGCTGACAGGCAGATGAATAGGGAAAGACAAAGATCCTGCAACAAAGGCAGAATGCCTACAAATCACACACAAAGGCAAACGTGTGACTTCTTAATGATAGAATATTTACAGTATAGCATACACATGGTTATTGTATGCTCTTTCTAAATATTTGTTATTGTTTAAATTATGAGGGGGGTTGAGTGCAAGTGCATGCAGAGGCCATCAAAGGGCATCAGGTCCCATGGAGATGGAGTCACAGGCCACTGTGAGCAGCCTGACGTAGGTGTTGGGAACTGAACTTGGGTCCTCTGCAAAAGCAGTACATGCTCCTTATTGCAATTTTTAAATAATTTATTTATTTGCATTTTATGTACACTGGTATTTTGCCTACATGTATGTCTGTGTGTGAGTGTCAGATCCTTTGATGCTGGGAATTGAACCAGGGTCCTCTGTAAAAGCAGTCAGTGCTCTTAACCACTGAGGTATCTATCTCTCCAGCCCCCAACTGCATTCATAACTGCTGAGCCATCTCTCCAATCCATGTTCATCCTCTCAATTACTTGAATATTTACCTCATGCAAGTGTTTCTTTATTAACAATAATTTTTTAAACTAAAATATACAGTGAGTATTACTATAACCTAAAAAATCCAAACTGAAATGCTATGGACTCTTCAAACCTAAAAAATTTTGAGTACCGACAAGATGCTCAAAAGTGTTTTGGGCTATTTCAAGTTTTAGATTTTTAGACTAAAAATGCCTAACTGGCAAGTCTATGCAAATTCTTTAATCCATACAGCTCCAAAATCTGAACACGTATGATCTCAGGCATTTCCAGTAAGAGATAATCAACCTGTAAATATAGTTTGCAAAATTCAGATGCACAACTCTAAGTATTATGCTGCTAAAAAACAAAACAAAACAAAAACAGTAGGGTCAGGCCAATGAAGATGCTTCAAATGATAAAGTCTAGAAGTCTATAAGTTTATGTTCTCCAAAGCTATGAAGAAGTTGATGGATCACAGTGCCTTAACAAAGCCAGTGGTAACAACGTCTTGCCAAGTTCATCCCATAACAGTGCAGGAACCTCAGCCTACTAAAGAGGCCAGCTAGTTTTCTGAGGCAAAGGGATTGATGACATGCAGAACTGAGAGCATGGCTACAGCTGAAGAACGAGAATTTACACACTAGCTCTATTTTACATAAATGAGTTCTGATATTTACGACATACCACTTTTATGGTCATATAACAATGAGGCACAAGTACCTCTTCTAGAAAATTGTCAATCTCTATCATCTTCAATTCAGTTCTGTGGAACTTAGGAATAGAGCCAGTACACAAGGAAAGGTCACTCCCCAGTTACTACTCTTCCATGTTTGATGACTAAAAGTGCAGAAGAATGTCTCCAAACAAAATTTAAAAGTCAATGAGAATTTCTGAATGCTTTTCTAGAAATATTTTAAAAAATCTACAACTCTGTGTTCTTTGAGAGTTCCTTGAATATGCACTATTTTGCAGCAAATATTAAATAGAATGATTTTATCATTACTTCAAGAAATTAAACTGAAATTCAAAAATGAGTACTTAACTAAAAAATATTTTTCCAAATAATTCAGAATATTCCTGTATTAAGGAATGTGTAACATACCTGTATAAGATAGCTCGATCCACACCAAAAGCTCCTACAACTAAGTCTTGAGAGAATAAAAAAACATGTTAATAACAAAAATGGTTTTTAAAATATGCATTATTCTATGACATGCTCAGTGTTCCCAGGTTTTGTTTTCAAAGCCAGGAAATTTTAGGATAATATGCACAAGGCAAAACTATGTCAAGTGGTGAAGAAACCATCACCATCAACCAGACTTTGGTTTCAAAAGCAAATCCCAGAAACTCAAGCAGAAAGGACAAAATACACTTGTTTTTATGTAAAAGTGCTTCACAATTTGGATAAAATTAAATCAGAGTTTTATCCCACATATATCCAAGCTAAATTTGAGGAGGCTCTCTCAACACAGAAAAATATAAGAAAATATAAAGAATGTCTACAATCCTAGCATGCTCCTTCTAAGAGATGGTAGAACCCAAAGCTCCCAAGTAAGCTATGTTGCAGCATACAGAGCCTGTCTCAAATAAGGTGGAAAGGCAGAAGGTTATACTCTGACCTCCACACACATCCTCTTATCTCCTCATATGCCCTCAGCTACATAGACAAACAGCACTACCACAGTGAGTACACATATGTGTGTATGTACCTTCAGCCACACATACAAAGAAGCACAACCACAGTGCACACACACACACACACACACACACATACACACACACACACACACACGCACATGCGCGCGCACACAGCATGCCTAAGGAAATATTTAGGACATATAACAAAGTTATATACATAAACATAAATAACAAAATATAAGGTAAAATAAGATACTACACAGTTATCTGTTACAATGGGAAACATGAAATTAATGTTTTAGAAAAATGTTCCTGATATTCTCAAGGGAATTTACAATGAACAGCATATAAAGCATGAGGGTGTTTTTTTGTTTTGTTTTGTTTTTTTAATTAAAAAATAAGAAACAAAAACATGGAACTAAAAAGATGACTCCACAGTAAAGAGCACTGGCAGCTTTTCCTGCTGATCCAGATTCAATTCCCAGCACCCACATGGTGACTCACCACTGTATCTAACTCCAGTTTGAAGGAATGTGATGCCCTACTACACTCTGGCCTCTGTGGACACTGCACACACATAATGCACAAGCATATATGCAGGTAAAACACCCATACATACAAAACAACAAAAACCCACAAATTATATACTCGTATATATGTATACATTTGTGTGTGTGTGTGTGTGTGTGTGTGTGTGCGCGTGTGTGTGTGTGTGTGAATGATTTGGGCATGGAGATGCACACCTGTAATCCCAGCCACTCAAAAGACAAAGATGGGAGGATTATGGGTCTGAGGATAGCCAGCCTGGAATACATAACAAAACCTGCCTCAAACAATCACAAAGTATAGATGCAGCAGGGGAAAATAGAAAGATACATTTTGCTATACTAAGCTCTGTAATGCACATATTGCAGTCATAAACGTGTCACTGAACTCACACATAGAATCCAAATTAGCTATTTCAACAACAAAGGTCATCTAGGTTCTCTAAATTTTACTTCATGTAAAGAAAGGATCTATTTCAACCTTCATCCATTATAATACTCAAAGGGTATAAGAGTCTAAACTGATGGTCTTACTCTGCAGATTAACCCAGTGGGAAACCTTAGACAAGTTACCTTTTTTTTTTTCACATGCACCAAATGGCCTTATTGTGATCTAATTTAACTTACATTTCACACAATTGTAATTGAGAAAATTCAGTGAAATGGTACTTTTTGGTTTTTGTTTTGTTTTGTTTTTAAATCAGAATGATTGGTTCAGGCTGGGCTGGTGGCTCCAAAAGTAAAGTGTTTACTACACAGAGGATGAGGACTTGAATCTGTGTCCCCCAGCACCCAAGCCAGGTATGGTGCTATGCACCTGGAATCCTAGTGTGGGGAGGGGAAGGGTAACACAGGAGGGTCCCCAGGACTTTCTCAACCAGCTTAGCCAAATTTATGAGCTCCAGCGATGGAGTCTGTCTCAAAATATAAGGTGACAGAGGAAAACACTACACATGATCTCTGACTCCACACACACGTGCACTCATGCACACACAAACACACACACATACTCCACATGCAGGTGCTCTCATACACACACACACATACACAAATCACTGTTAACAGTCCATAAAAATGCTCATAAAAAAAATCAATGGATGCCATTCTCTAAACTTGGAATGTTCATTTGGCTTTTGTCTATTGCTTCTATAAATATTTTCCTGATACTTTAAACGATTAGTCAATAAATAAAAGTGTATGTTTCATATTGCACACTCCCATCAAACATGGCTGTGTTTTCTTCCTGTCTCTGTTGATGATGGTAGTAACGTTTTCCTCAGTATTTAGACATTACATGGAATGGCAGACAAGAACAGACTAGCTAACATTGTTGGGACATCCAAGAGCCACGTGTATTTGTAGAAAGTACCTGGATATCCATTCTTGTCTACATCTGTAGCTCCTTTCATTGAATAGCCAAAGCTTGGGGGCATGCTCTGAGCAGCCCACTGCCCCTCAAGGATCTGAGATGGCACTGAATTCAAGCCTGTTAATCTTCCATTGAAGACATAAACAAGTCCCTTTTGATCTTCACCTCCATATGGAGCGGCGATTGCAATATCTGTGGACAGAGGGAATGACACAGAGGAGGAGTGATGAATTAGGAGAGTGGGCAGGGATGGTCAGAAGAGATTCTCAATACTAATACAACCATGCTATGATAACTGTTGATTTGAAGTGCTTCAGAGTAACAGTCTAGGTTGTCACAGGGTCACATGCCCATAATCACAACACTCAAGAGACTAACACAGCAGGATTCTGAGTTCAAGGTCATCCTGGGCTACTGAGTGAAATTCTCTCAAAACAACAGAAAACAAAACAAAACAAAACAAAAAAAGTGGCATTCTAATCCAAAAGATCCAAGAAAAACTGAAAAAAAAAATGACATTAATTTAGAAGCAGAACCTTTGGGTCTGACCTTGGACAAGAGACTTAGCTTTCTGAACCTAAAATTCGTCATCTTATATTACAGATGGGATTTACAAATCACCTAAAATTCACCCTGGTCCTCCTTCTAATTCTTGCATGAGAATTATTTTACCAAATTAAAATCTGGCTCATCAATTTCAAAGTTCTGACTTCTTGATATTGTTCAATTTATACTGAAACAACAAAAACATATAAAAGTTTTAATTTTTTAAAACAACCTTAAATGGTAATAAATGGTCATAGTGGCCACTCCTAAATAAATGTCATATACCAATTTCTCCTTTCTCTGATGTTACCAGTCTAAGACATGGATGTCTCTTTCACTTATAATGGCTTCTCTGTACTGGCCACACCAAACTACTTTGATGTCCTTACTGTACAAAACACCTCATGCCTCCTCAGTGACATCTCCTGAGATACCAAACATACTTGGATGGCTCATTCTTTGCATGAGACCACTATGCCAGGGAATATCTCAAACACCATAGTAATCATATTCTAGTGGTTTTTTAAAAAGAATATTTCTTACACATACACACTCTATTGAATGCTGGGTTCCTTAGAATGTATGTGGTTGATTACTCTCTCTTTTGTTTATCTTCTTGAAGACAGGGTTTCTCTATAGAGAATTTGCTCTGTAGACCAGGCTGGCCTCAGAGATCCACCTGCCTCTGCCTCTGCCTCCCCAGGCACAAAGAGACCAGGCCCTTTATGCTTCTGCTGCCATTGCACTCCAGGCCATAAGGGACAGCATCCCCTCAAAGAGTAACCCCTTCCTCCCTTAAGTTGCTTCATATCGCTGGGCTGTGATGGCACACACACCTTTTAGTCCCAGCATTCAGGAGGTGGAGACAGGTAAATATCTCTGAGTTTGAGGCCAGCCTGGTCTACAGAGTGAGTTACAGGACAGGCCAAAAAGAAAAAAGAAAAAGAAAAAGTTACAAAGCTCAAAGATTTTTGCTGTTGTTTATACATGCTGCTGAAGAATAACAATAAAAATATGAAAAGTAAGATTGCAATACCCAGAAAATGTCTTTAAAGTGACTGGCATATCTTTGGGACAAAGCAACAGCATATGTGTCCTAGCTGTTCCACAGAGCCCAATTACAATGCAAGGGTAGAAAATAGTTTTCCTTCTTATCTGAGGTCTTGCTGTCACTAGGTAATGACCAGCAACCATCTTTCCACATCTTGCTTTATTCTACAGTTGCTGTTGTGTTCTTTTATTTTAAAAAAAATATTTAAGACTATTTTAGGAAGCAAATTATAACTTGGGCTAGGTGTTCACTAAAGCCGAAACCCTCTATGGTTATTCAAGCTTGTGTATGACATACAATTGTCCACAAGGCATTTCCTTTTCACTAGATGTCAGAGTAAGCTGTACTATGGAGTTTCTCAAGTCTTCTTAATAACTTTCTATTACATTTGTAATAACTTTCTATTATATTATATACAGCTGATAACACACACAAACCAACAACTCACCTCTCCTTAATATTCTTTTACCAAAAAATATCCTTGTAATTTATTTCATGTATCTAATTTTTAATCTGTTTTTCAGGTTCTGGAAAAGAGCTGTGTAATAAAAGCTATCTTTCCATTTTAAAAGTATCTGTAACTATTGAAATGGGACTACTATAAAATATTGGGCTTATGCCTTTTACAGATCCCCATGAAAAAGCACACAACCTCTCTCCAAGGTTTCACAGCTACTATAAAGCTACAGTTATAAAAATATTAGTGGAAATTCAGACCTGAGGCAGGCATTAAGTCATCATTGCATTCACAACAGCCTAGGCGCTATCTTTCACTTGGAGCCAAATGGACAGTAGAGGGCACTGCCACGCAGCAGGATGCATAGAGTTCCCTGGAAATGAAGGCTCCCTTCAGAATTCAATCAGTTGATATTCTAGCTCATAAAAGTCATGTTATGAAAATTTTTGCTTATTTAAAAAAAAGTCTTGTTTTTAAATCTGATGATGTGCTCGCGATCTTTCCAGGAGGTAGGTTGGCCCATAAGAGCTTCTATAGATGGCATTTTTGGACTTCTTCAAGTGACACAGAAAATCACTTTGATCTTACCATTGAAACCATCCTGATCCAGGTCTCCCAGAGGAGCTATGGCACTTCCAAATCTGGCAAAAACCTCAAATCCGTTCAGCTTTGTAGTCTGGAAGTCTCCAGATGCTCTCTGCAGAGACACTGAGACCTGGCCCACCTCTTGGAGTTTCCCGTCAGAGCCTCGGTCCATGAACAGAGGTGCTCCAATAAACACATCTGCATAACTGAAGGAAGAGGATGTGCTCACACACAAGATCAAAGTCCACCCGACAGCATTTCTGTTAATTTTCTATTTTATGTGCAAGAGGGTTTTGCCTGTATGTATGTCTGTGTATGCTGGAGCGCCCTCAAATGCCAGAAGAGGGCGTTGAATTCCTAGAACTGGAACTAAAATAGTTATGAGCCACCATGTGGGGGCGCTATGAATTAAACCCAAGCCCTCTGCAGGGTACGCCAATGACCTTTCCCACTGAGCAGTCTTTCCATTCCCACATCAGCACACTGTTACTAAAACTCCATTCCCCACCCCCTTTGCACGCCTGCCTCCTATGGCTACATAGAAAGAAGCATTGCAAATCACTCATAACCACACTGTTTTAAGACAGCGGTTCCCAATCTATGGGTCATGTTGTGACTCCATGTGGTCTCATATCAGATATCCTGCACATAAGATATTTACATTATAATTCTTAACAGTGCAGTTATGAAGTAGCGATGAAATAATTTTATGGTTGCGGGTAACCACACCATGTGGACCTGTATTAAAGGGTTCAGGCATTAGGCAGCTTGATTACCACTGCTCTAGAGTTAATTATAAAGCTTACCACCCAACTCAGAGGTTTTCCCATATTCATGATTAGGGAGTATCAAATTCCCTTCTTAGAATGCCAGAAGATTAACAAGGAACAGACAAAGAAACAGAAGAAATGCTATTTAGTTTTAACCAAGCATTTATAAACATAGAAGAAAATGGATTCTGGAAACATTATTTTTTTAAACTTACTCATCCCCATTAATGTCAGTGGCAGCTACAGAAAATCCAAAATATGCAGCCATCTGCAGAAGAAGATGGGACAAAGATGTATATTTCATTCTACCAGATCATGCAGTTAACATTTGGAGCACATAGACAGGATATTTCTCTGTGCATTTAGAGTTTCAATCTCAATGTTTTTTATCTATTTTACTAACATAATGATAATCACTTAATAAGGCTTTTTTAATTCTTCTAAATTTATGGGCAAAAACATATTTCATGTTCATCATTTGAGAGTCTCTACTATTAAGTTTCTCAGCCCCTCCTTCTCTCCCAAAGCCAAACACACCCCAGGAAATAAGAAGCTTGCAGCCCTGGATACAAAACTGGGAGATCCCCCTCCCCTTCTGCCTACTATGAATCTTTTTCTTTATTGTTACCAACTTGTAACCTAATTCTCTGAGACACACAAACAATATCATGAAACATCTACACTCATTCAGAACAACTTGTATTACACTTAACTGAAGAATTTTTATTTTGTAGTGCAACTATGTACATATCATCCATAATACAAACATCTGTGTTGTGCCCTTTTTGGCATCTAATAAAACCGAAACACATAGGTCATTCTTTTCTTTTTTTATCTTTCCTTTTCTTTTTCTTTTTGGGTTTTTGAAGCAGGGTTTCTCTGTGTAGCCCTGGCTGTCCTGAAACTTGCTCTGTAGACCAGGCTGTCTTCAAACTCAAAGATCCACCTGCCTCTGCCTCCTGAGTGCAGGGATCAAAGGCATGCACCACCACACTCAGCTCATAGGTCATTCCTTTAGAAAACTTTAATGACATCAAGGAGAAATTTTAGCTTTTGTGTATTTGTGATTTTACTTTTATTTAAAAAAAACAGCAAACAAAAATAAACTATCATATGCAAGGACAAAAAAAAAGGTTTGCTAAACTGAAATATTTTGGTTAAAAACAAAAATAAAACATCTAAAGTCAGGCAGGCGGTTTGCCTTGAATCGCGGCACTTGTGAAGCAGAGGCTGGCAGATCTCTCTCCAGGACAGCCAGAGTTATACAGAGAAACCCTGTCTCAAAAGACAAAAAAAAAAAAAAAAAAAAGAAAGAAAACCACAACAGCAACAACAAAATCTAAAGCCTATGAGAATTCTATTTATAGCATTGCATGTGTAGGCTCATTAAGCCATTTCCACAAAATGCTGACTAAAGACACAAAGTGAAAACAGAAGAAACCAACTGGCTCTCACAAACACTTGCACATGAGAGGAGGCAGCAGCACAACGGTCCTCCAGCAGCTGTGTCAAGTTACACTGCAGATGGCATTTGTATTTTCACTTCCTAAATACTCTTCAGTGAATTTTTGTAAAGGAAGTGTGACATCTTAATAGCATACCTGTTCACCAGTAAAATTGTGTAAAGAGGACATGTTTTTCCCATCATAAATATAAACCTGTGTAGGAAAACAAAAGTAAATGAAATATGATAAAATAGACGATAGCTACAGATTGGGGAGGGGTGGTTATGAACGTGTCTGTGGGCACACGTGCATCGAGGAAGAATGCATGTGTATTTGTGTGGAAGCCAGAGGTCGAAGTTGGGTATCTTTATCCTTTTTGGAGACAGTCACTTTCTAACTCCAGAGCTCATCCATTAGTGTGATGACTGAGTCATAAACTCCAGGGAGCCACCTGTCTCTACACCCAAACCCACAGCACTATGGTTACAGTGTAGTGGGACTGCTTTTACATGCATGCTGGCGATCCAAACAGAGGTCCTCATGCTTGTGAGGCAAGAACCATCCCATCTTCAGACCATCTCCCAGCCCCTGCCCCCAGATATTGAAACACTCCTACCATTCCCAAAGTCCTCGCTGCTCTTGGAACTCCTGAAACAAAATCTAGGGGAAAAAAATAAAAACTTAATTACTAATTTTTAAGACAAACACTGGAATTTACAGATGTAGGTATTCTGCCAGAGAGCTTTCAGTTTTATTAAACCAGTAGAAAACAAACTAGAAAGTTTTTCAACATTGCATTTGATGCAACCCTTGCAATTTAAATTATAAAAATGTAATCTGTAAGTCATAAAAACATTATTAAGAACTCAAATACACTGGGCATGGTGGCACACACCTTTAATCCCTGCACTGAAGAGGCACAGGCAGGCAGATTAAACTCGAGGCCAGCCTGATCTAAGAAGTGAGTTCAGGGACAGCCAGGACCTCACACATACAAGTAAGACTTCAAATCCAAATCGCTTGCCATTTTACTAAACAGGAATAGAAAGAGCAAGCTCTGCAGCAACTAAGAAAAGCTATATTTACAGTAATGAAAAACACTACAATGTAAACTGAAATGAGGGGTGGCTGGGGCCAGAAGCATGACCTGTGTGGTGTCCAGGATTGCTACACTCACTTCTGAACCAGGACAAGGAAGAAGGAGGAACAGCTGGCTCCCAGGCTATGCCCACAAGCCACAGACCAACCTAAAAGAGGAAAAGCCTCTCCATGAAGACAGGACTTGCCAGGGCAAGGACAGGAAAAGAGTTCCAGCCCCTCCACCACCCTGCCAGGCAGAACTTGTAGCAGAGACCAGGAGTTCCCCTCCCCACCCCCATCAACACTTTCTCCCTCAGTATATTACACAGTAATGGTTGCAAACTGCTGAAATTGTGTCTTGTGTTTCAAATGCTCATTCGATATGCATTAAGGGTAGCCCAAACTCTTCCTACCTTCAATGCCATCACCATTGAAGTCTCCCACAGCCACAGAGTACCCTAGACAGGAATGAAAGGTGACACCCATGAATCCCTCAAAGTATTTTCAGCTTCTCCCTCCTCTGGGATAAAGAAGTCATATGCTGCCAGGCATTGGTGGCACACGCCTTTAATTCCAGCACTCAGGAGGCAGAGGCAGGTGGATCTCTGTGAGTTTGAGGCCAGCCTGGTCTACAGAGAAAGCTCCAGGACAGGCTCCAAAGCAATACAGAGAAACCCTGTCTGGAAAAACAAAAAGCAAAAAACAAAAAACAAAAACAAAAAAAAAAAAAAAAAATGAAGAAGTCATATGCATATGACAAGAAGGGGGCATCCCTATAAGAAAACTAAGACAAAGGCGTGTTAAAAACGGTAAATCTGCAGTCTGCCCAAAGGGAACAAGGAATAACAGATTCACTCAGGCATCAAGTCCTACTTCTGTGGTGTGACTTGTTTCCATTAATAACAAAGAAATTTAAAGGGTCAGAACAAACACTAATAAATCCTGAATCCAAAACCTGTGTCTAAAAGTTCAGTACTCAAAAGGGGTTCGGCATAGCCAGCAAGCAGCATGGCCTCCATGCCTTGGCATCACTATTTATAAAATGGGAGTGGGAATGGTGCACTCTATAGACTTGGGGGGGGGGAGGTTACATGAGCAATACCAAAAAAATGCTTAGATAATGCCTAGAATGCAGGAATTATGTTTCAAGGTTAGTTTGTATTACTAGCAGTGTATAAATAATTTCTTTCTTCAGTTTTAATTACTGAATGATAGCATAACCTAAACATTCAACATCCATTTGATGCTGTATGCCCCTTAGATTTTTTAATTAAACTATTTCTCAAGTAATTAAACTATTTCTCAACTATTACTTAAGTAGTATATGCAAAATAATAGGGCAAATACACCACAGTTTCATATAAAGAGTCTATATTTTGCATTTACTTACCCAAATAACTGTCATCAAAAATTGCTTGTGCAGCCCGAGTTGCTAATTGGTTATTATATTTGATGCTGTAGACATTGGGGTCATATTTAGATATGATTTCTGCCACTTGATCCGAAATGAGCTGGCCTGTGGTGGAGCAGACGTAAATGTGTAAAATAGCCTTCTAAAGGGAACTTCACGGTACAAACAATAGGGGTTTCCTATGTGGACCAAAGTCCATCTGGACATTATTACTTCAGGAGTTTTGTTTCATTCTGTTGTTGGTGGGGTGGGATTTTACTATATAGCCTAGACCGGCCTTGAACTCTAAATTCTTCTGTCCCAGCACCTGAGTGATAGTGGGCTTATTAATGTTTACCACCAATCCTGACTAGACATTACTATTTCTAATTATCAGTCTCAAATAACACTAAACCACACACACACACACAAACACACACACACACACACAACTGTCTAAAATATCCTATGAATTGAGGCCACTTATATAGTTGTGATATCAATAATATCATAGAAGATGTGTCTTAATAGATCAGTGGGGTGGTGAGAATCACAAAATGTAGACTCTTTCACAGTTGTTTCCCAGGAATACTCATCTATCTCCCTTGACTCCACTGAAGGGCAGAAGGCATGCTTAGTAAGAAGAAAAAATAAACCCATGTTTGTTGGTTATGTTTTATCACCCCTCACCCCAGTGCAAGTTGTTGAAGCCCCACAGTCCTGCTAAGTTCTCCATCAGGAAACTGCTCACCCAGGTTACAAAGGGAAACTGTCCACACTGCTATGCCTAACATGAAAGCAGTGTCCCTTGTTTCCTCGTCCGCACCTTAAAATGCTGCATTTGTTTTACAACACTAAAACTTGTTTAAATTCTCTAAATTCTGGTCCCAGTAGCTGCATGATTCACAGACACTCACACTTTCAGTCTTAGTGCACCTCATACACTGGCCTGTGTGTTTAATGCCTGGGTTTTCTGGACCCTTCGATTTTTCATTTATTCCTATTTCTCATTCATCGCATTCCTTATTCCTGCAACAAGCACCTCTCTTTCCCATCTCCTTTGAGATATGGAATGAGAACAGGTAGTTTCCTACAAAGGGCCTCATTTGGAAAAATCAGAGAGCGAAATTCAAAGTTAAAAATACTGTTAAACTGACATAGTCATGTTGTTTCCAAAGCTTCCAAGCAAAGACCCTTAGTCTGGGCTGCCAGGAAAGGGGGACTCCGACCTGGTGAACAACACTTTTTAGCAGAAATTAAACAAGTAACATATTAGCCACATAAATGAGTATCTCTAACAAGTCAAACAAAGGATATTTGTGCCTATTTTAGTATGTCTCCAATACATTGTTTCTGATGCATGATTTTTTTCTCTTTTCTTCACTTGCTCCCTCAAACTGTCAGGAATAATGACCTCTTCTACACTTACTCAGATGATAGTTTAGTAATTACAGTTCTCTAGAATGGCTGGATAGTGATTATCTTCATATCACTACCAATTTAATTAAGATATTTTGTTTGTTTGTTTCTTTGTTTTTGTGTTTTGAGACAGGGTCTCATCTCACTATGTAGACATGCCTGTCCTGTAACATACTGTGTAAACCTCAAACTCAGAGATCTGCCTGCACCTGCCTTTGACTCTGCCTCCTGAGTGATGGGATTAAAGGTGTGTGCATGCATCCAACTTTCACTCTAACTTCTAACTTTAAAGTCCTCTTACAGATATATATTAGAAAGATTAAGGTGATCCTAGGTATTCTAATGAGCAATTTGAAACTGTGAGCTTTCAGAAGGCTAAACTCACTAATGTGTCCCCCATGGCCTCTGGAGTATAGAAATAAAATACACACTACTTAAAAACAAACAAACAAACAAAAAAAACATTTAAATGACTTTATATGTTTACTTTAAATTTACCTTTAAAAACTGTTGATTTTCTATCTGAAATATATGTACATTTAATATATACCATAAAAATCGTATCAAATTCTTTTCTAAAAACATAGTATAACAGAAAATTGGTATACTGAAGTTACATTTCATATTTCTTTCTTTAATATAATTCAAGATACCTCATGGGCAAATGAGTAACCAAGTATTCAGTTGAAAAATATAAACCTACCTTGCCAATAAAAGCTGCCAGGACCACCAAGAAGTACTCTGTCAGCCTAAATCAAATCATAGAACAGAAGGAAGATACTTAAAACAATGAGGTTGGACAAGAAATTAGTATGCTAAGCTTTATAGATATTTATGCATATATTAACATTATAACTAAGTAACAAGTTATTAACTCAGTTAACTCGGCTTCAAGTAGTATGCATTTACTTTTCTAGAGGAATCAAGAATTTAATTATCATTATTATTGGTATTAGAGGAATGTAGTATCTTCATCTTGACTGTGTAAGGTACTGGTGGAAACAGCACTTGGTTACAATGAGTAAAAGGTTGTTTCTTCACTTCCTGTATTAGATTTACACCACTTGAGATACATTTTCTAGTGATCACTGAGAAATGTTCTGCCAAAGGGAAACAATGTTAGTGTCTCACCAATTTATAGATGTGTGGCTTCAAAGGGAAAAGTTCGGTGAAGGACACCAGCACTTTTTAAACCTGTAACAAAGTGTAAGGGTCTAATTCAAGGTATTTTGTGTTTGCACATGGTGTCTTGGAAGTTTTTTCTTGCTACAGTGAAGGTACTTTGTTCCTCCCAAATATACATATAACTTTCCATTCTACTTTTATTGCTGCTATTGTTGCTTTGGGTGTTGCTTTTTTGCTTTGAAATAGGTCCCATTATGTAGACAGCCTGGCTCTGAACTTGCTTGCAATCCTTCTGCCTCGGCCTCCTGAGTGTTGGGATTACAGTATGTGCTTCCTCTTAGGCTCAGGAAGCTCTAATTAATCAATCTATTACTGTAGCTTCTCCCAACAAGGGTTAATGTCATTAATTCCATAACCAAACCTTTTAGATGGCTGACAAAAGGATGCTTTAATGAAAAAAAAAAATCACCAAGAAGCATACATTAGAAAGTTTGTCTTTAAAAATGTCAATGAAGTTTTTATTTAGATAGAATGAAAACTATCGAGTTTGAAGAACATGTCCATTTAGTTAAAAATACTGTGCTTATAAGATTTTCCACCATTTTTACATTGCCTCAGCTTCACTTGGCAGCTACAGATAAAACACAGGTGGTCAACAGATACATTTCTCAGCTTTTATGTAATTAAACTAATTTTGTAACAAAATCCCTAATGATAGCTTTTGTGAAAAGACAATTTCAGTTGAAAGAGAAACTGTAATATTTTATAAATTCCCATAGGTGGAAATTTTAAGTGTGTATGTGAATGTGTGTTTGTGAATGTGTGTATATGGGTGGTGTTTGTGTGTGCTTGTATATGTGGGTGTGTGTGTTTTGGTCAAGATGTAAGTAAGGGAGGTATACATATGGAGATCTCCATATATATACAAATCTTGGATGGCAAGTGCCTTTACTGGCTGAGACAATCTTGCCTGCCTGCTCTAGATACTTTAATGTCATCATAGTTATCAATTATTTATCAAAGAAATTCTCTACTCTCCTCCATTCTCACTGTGCTGTCTCACCACTTCAAATAAGCGATGTTTATGAAGAAGGGAACATAAGCCAAAGAATACCAAAATAAACAGACTGCTTTGTAGCTATTTTCATTAAAATATGGTAATTATAAGGAAGCCGAAGCAAGGACCATGTGTTTTAAAACCCAGTTTACTCGTAAAGAAGATTGAAATCTGTCTTAAATGAGAACTTACTTTAGTAAAATCAATGCTGAATCCTCCTTGACAAAATCCCTGTCCATCAGCATCAATATTTTCTAAAATAAAAAGATTGGAAATAGACACAAACCCCAAAACAAGCAATAACACACACAAAAACAAAGCATGAAATAAATAAACCTGCTATTGTTTGAACCATAGTTTCTTTAAAGGACTCACTCAGGCACCTGTCTACTCTCATACTAGCTTACATATTCCTCAGGGTGGTTTCTTTATCTCAGATACATTGGGATGTGGACTCTATGGGCCAGTCCCCAAGGACCAGAAAAATCATCTAAGATCATCATCATCATCTTCTTCTTCTTCTTCTTCTTCTTCTTCTTCTTCTTCTTCTTCTTCTTCTTCTTCTTCTTCTTCTTCATCTTCTCCTTCTCCTTCTTCCTTCTTCCTTCTTCCTTCTTCCTTATTCTTTATTCTTGAGACATGTAGTCCAGACTGGTCTCAAATTAAAGATACTCCTTTCTCTGCCTTTCAAGTGCTAAGATTAAGGCACCTGTCCCCACAGCTGGATGAAACTGCTTGCTTCAAACACAACTCACAGGAAGATTATAGCTTGTATCACAGTGCATCAAACATTGTAATTATGCAAAATAAATACATTACTTAAATCTCACAAGATATGATATGCAATATACTCTATAATGTATACTTTCTATTCAATTATGTCTTCTTTTTTTGAAAAAATACCAATAATGGCCCATTATACAGTAAACACCAGTGAGCTTTCATCCACAAACTTAAGCCTTCTTTCTGAAATGCTTCTTGCTTCCTGTTACCTTACAGTTGTTATGTCTTTGCTAAGTTTAAGAAAAAACAACTAAAAGACCCATACAATCCTAATATATTTCCTATGTGTTATAGGTGATGATAAAAATAAAAAACTAAGCCAGGTGGTGGTAGTGCACGCCTTTAATCCCAACACTTGAGAGACAGAGACAGGAGGATCTCTGTGAGTTTGGGGTCAGCCTGACCTACATAGTGAGTTCCAAGATAACCAGAGCTATGTAATAGAGAGACCCTGTGTCAAAAACAAATACACAAACAAACAAACAAAACTATAAATAACATGGTGAAGTATTTCAGAAAATTGCAAAGCTCTATGAAGAGTAAAATATACAACTATTCTAGCTATAGTCATAGGAGCTAATTAAGTTCATTTAAACATGATTCTCAAGGTGTCTCCCAACCACAGCAATTAATAATTTGCTTTCTTGTAATTACTCTTTTTTTTATATATCTCAGAAAAAGTGACCAATTCTGAACTAGGTAATTAACCAATTAATCTAAACTAACTTTAATCATGAGCAATACAGATGCTGATGAATTTTTAAAGTCTCCCCTTATGAATGTCATCCTTTAGTTATCAAAGAATTTGTGCCCTAATGTTGCAAATATATCAAAAGTTACTCACACCTAAGTCACTCAAATACAGACACCAATAGTTCATTTTAATCCTAACGTCAAACTTCTAAGAATATGTCTGTGAAAGAATCCCTTCAAAACTTTTGAACCCATTTTTAAAATCTGGGAACTGCCCCAAGATTACACAGTAAAATATTTTTTGTTTTAAGAAAACAGCCACAAGAGTGTAACACTACTCTAATGTAAATTTTTCTAACCAAGAGGGACTGGGAAAATGTGGGGTGGGGTTTCCAGTGTCTGGTGAATCATACTAAGGAATTGTGCTTCAACCTCAAGTCAGCCATGCATTTGCTTCATTCAAGCTGCATCTGGGGAACAATCTTAAGTTACCTATGAAGACATAAGACATGCCTTTTTTATTCCTGCTATGAAACTATCTGCTTTGTTTGGTTTCCTGGGACATCCCGCTGAAATACACAACTTCCTTAAAATTTCCTTAGCCAGCACATAATAAGCTGGGTGTGTCTTACAATTTAAATTATTTTGCTGAACACAACTTAGTTTATTGAAGGGCTCAGTGTTTATCTCCACAGATGACCAACACTTTTCCCTCCTGTCAAGCCTAGAGATAGGACAGTATGGTCAATTAATGTGCATTAGGCACTTATTCATATCACATTTTTCTTTTCAAGTTTTACAACAATCTCTGGAGAGATATGATTGTTAGTCACCATGTATATAGAGGGGAGACTAAGTAACTTGGTATTTGTCAATCAGCTATGTCCCTGAATATTACTGGGCTAGGCTATTTCTCTCACCAGCCAGACCATTACTATCTGGATAAGGAAAAGTGGAAGAAAAAACTAGAAACCTTAACTGAGAAAATGTTATGTCCAAATATAGTTATCAAAATTAAGATCAGGGACAAAGGACTCAGTGGGAACAGAACATAAGTGTTCGTTCCATATGACTTGGGCAGTTTTTCAACAGATGGATGGTCATGGATAGTATCATTGAAAGGCAGAGTTAACTACAAGCAATAAAGAAGTAAGGAAACAAGCAGTGAAACTTTATCCAGGCTGTACACACAGGTCATGTTAAAAACACAATCAATGAACCAGGCACCAAACAAACAAAAAACAGAAACAAACACCAACACACACATAAATTAAACCACCACAGCCGAGAAAAGCAAAGACACAAAAAGGTCAGCACACACCCTGGAAAATCTGAGATCATTCTGGTCTGGACAATACAGTTTACCAAAGAAAGAATAAAATACGAAATATCAAATGCTGCCTCTAAAATGCTTAGCCAAGATCAGTGTTGTACCAGTAATGAAGCGAGGGCTCATGGAGGTTAAGGGCTACAAGTTCAGTGGAATCTGAGGTTGTGACCTAGAGTTTAAAGCTCTCCCTCCTCCTGAGTGTCCCCTCTGGATAAGTTGCCCACCTCTTAATTGGAGCCTGCAGGTGTTTCACATTTCCAAGGTTGGACCAAACAGCATGTACCATAACCTGGTTTGCTCAAGAAAGGCATCTCCTCTGCTCATATGTTTTATGATGCTTTTCTTTGAGATGTTTTAGTTAGAGCAGAGTACCATAAACTTTTTCTGAAAAAAGCCAGACAGTTAAATATTTCAGGAAATGGGGCCATATTGCATGTCAACTCCTAATGACTCATCTTCCTAAACAGTGTATGAACAAATGGGGGTGGCTATATTCCCACAGAACAGTTTTTTGTTTGTTTGCCTTCTTGCTTTGTTTTGATTTTTGAGTCCGGTTTTCTTTGTGTAGCCTGTCCTGGAACTCTCTCTGTAGACCAGGCTGGCCTCTAACTCAGAGCGCTGCCTGTGTTTGCCTCCCAAGTGCCGGGATTAAAGGTGTATGCCACCACCACTTAGCTGCATAAAATATTATTTTTAAAGCAGATTCACAAATCACGTTTTGATCACTAAAGTTAGAATGATAAGCATCTTAGAAAACAATGCTTCATCACTTCATAATATTTATGTCTAGAGCAAATAATTGGCATTAAGAAACAAACACACAAAAACTCATCACTAGAGCACTCTTCAGAGGCAGTTGAAATGGAAAGCATATTTTCTAGATAGTAATGCAAGGATGGGTTCTTTTGAAATACGACAGACCTAGACATCTGGGGCATAGTTCAAGGGTGAAAGTGCTTGACACACGAGACCCTGGACTCAACACCTGGCACCGGAAAAAAAAAATGACCACCTGGGTGTAAATTCTTATTTGGCCATTCAATACCAGGGAATTTAGTGGGGGTGATGCTTCATCTGTCTTGAGTCTCAGTTTCTCAATTTCTCAAATGAGAACAAAGATCATTTATGTGACTATGTGTGTCTGTGTGCACATGTGTACACATACACGTAAGCTAGTCTATAAGCATGCATGTGAATGTATGTGCATATGTGTTCTACATTAGCTTTACTGACACACAATAATTTGCCCCTTCCTCATAGCTATGGAGTTGTATTTTCAAAATGAGAGTGTCTTTACAACATGGACATTAAAATACAAAAGTAATCCTTACATTTCTACATACTACCAAAGCTGACAGTACCATGACAGTACCAGCAACACAAATGTAGTGAGACAGGTGGCACCAGGCACTAAGGATGAAGCTCTGCCTTCATCCAAGGAGAGCATGATCTCTACACAGGCATCATTCTTTAGATGTTTACTTCACACTTAAAATAGGTAGGATGACCAAGGGGTTAAATAAAGATGTTTAATTAAAAAGTTGCAATTCCCTGGAGATTCAAATACTTAGAAGCAAAAGACCATGTCATTTCTTTGACCTGATGGTATATGTCACCTAACATGGAAAAGATGAACCTAACAGGAAGAGACTTATGTGTTGTTACTTTGCTAATTAATTCTGTCTGCTCAACTGTTTGGTTGAGCATCATTTTTAAAAAAAAAGGTACCAGGGGAAATACCACATGGAGTTCCCTTTATTAGCACAATTTTGCTGTTCACTGTTTCAGTTACTCACTATTTAGCAATCGTGTTATGAAGTTACTACTTGGGAAATTACCCTAAATAAGTAATTCATAAAAAGAAATTTAGTAGCACATAGGATTTGGTACTACCTTCGGTCTTTGTTGTTGATGGAATATCTTGCAGAATATGCACTATAGACCAGGCAAGACTGCATTTGGACAATCCATTTTTATGTCTTTGGTATAAAGAGGATGTAAAGTCAGGGCCAATCGAACAAAAAGTAGGCTTGCAAAGGGTCTGGGATCTCCAGTGGAAGAAAGATGTGCAGAGAAGGTGTCACCAAAATGATACCTGTTTGGAATCACCTAGATATTTCACTCATTGGAATTTCAACTAACATTAGGGAAGGGCCTGAGGTTGTTGGGATAACCAACAGGCATGTGAAATTCCAATGAAAGCTGGCAAATTTAGATTGAAGACACCTAAACACCATCTCCACCTTCTTTTGCAAACTGGATCAGAAAGATATCTTTTTCAAATGTACTTTTAATATCATTATTCATCTACAACTGCGGTTCTCAAGCTTTGTGGTCCAACAAAACTACCTTATAGAGCTTGTTAAAAATATAGACTCCAGGACTTAGAAACTCAGAATCTTTATCTGTGATGCCCACTTCTTGAGAAAAGCTCCCATGAGCATCTTTTCACCAACTGTGACTGGAAATAACAGACTTCCAAAATCAGGTAATAACGAACACAAACCAACGATGACTAAACTGAGTTCTTAGAAACAATAAATATGATTAACTCACATTTGTAATTTCCTTGTATGAGCAGAATCATTTTTCATTTTGCTCTGTCAACCTCACAATGTCTACATATTTTGTCACAAAGGCACACATACATGCATCCCACACAAAAACCAGACTCCCGGGGTCTCTTGTTAAAAGCAGGTACAGCATCTCATACATACTTGACCTGCATGGAGCATACTCAACAGTCTTTGTTCCATCTTGAAGAAAGCAAGTTCCAACAGGCTCTCTCTCCTGCTTCATCTCAGTCCTCCAGTGGTACAATGGAGCACAAGCCTAAAAACAAATGTTTAGTTCATAACACAAGAATCCTCTAGTAGTCTATATATCAATGCTAACTCAGAATACAAGAGCACAGTCTAAGCATTGAAAAATTCAAACCTACCCTCTGCTTTATCACAACAGTGAATAAAGATTTTAAAAGAAGTAATTTTTTCCTCTGGGTAATGGTGGCACACACCTTTAATACTAGCATTTGGAAGGTAGAGGCAGGTGGATATCTGTGAGTTCTACGCCAGCCTGGTCTACAGAGAGAGTTCCGGAACAGCCAGCACTGTTACACAGACAAGCTCTGTTTTGAAAAATTAAAGAAAAAAGGTATTTTTCCAGATTCTTCTGTCCCTCCCTTCCAAGCCTCTCAGGTAAGATCAGGAATAGATTTTTCTGAAGACTACACTTGCAGTCCCCATTTGTGTTTTCAGAAGTCAGCAAAGCTCTTGTTTCAAGTAGCATTATTTCTAGGTGCTACAAGCTGAACTTAAGGTCATAGACTGAGTCAGCTTCTGAACTACATCATATCCTCATGCTTGAAGGAGATACCCCAAAGTTATATGGCAAGTAATAAGAGTAATAAACAAAAAATACCCTGTACTTTCCAAATAAAATTTCCAAAGGTCCAATTGTATTAAATTTTAATGGCCTGCAAAACTTCCAAAAGCTTAACAGTTTAACTTGCTGGATGAAAGCTCAGCATAATTCTACAATAACTTTTAAAGAGAAACCCAGCTTTGGACTATTTCATCTCCACTCTGGTGGAACCTGAAGCAAGAGCCATTACTTCTCTGCACATCCCTGACTCTCTCCAGAGTGGATGAGCAGCATGTTGAGCTTGCTTTTGCTTCATACATCTTTCTGCCTCACAAACTCCTCCTCACGCCTAGCCTTCAGCTCTGAATGCTAATACTTGACATATCCTCTAATGTCCTACTGAAACCTCAAATCCTTAACAGATTTTCCCTAATATCCCATTATCACACTAAAAAAATGGTAAGTAAAAATGAAATAATTAAAGAGGATTCTCTGAGAAAATAAAATAAAAAGTGAACACGGAATGAATGAACATCAACAAAACACTCTCCAGGTAGAAGGGACAAAAACACTAGGCACTGCTTAAAATGGAAGAAACTAGGTATGGTTTATATGGAAGAAATAACCTTGTGCTGACTAGTTTTTACGTCAATTTGATGAAGGCTAGAGTCATTTTGGAAAAAAAAAAAGTTCTCATCAAATTATCATGTGGAACATTTTCTTGATTAAAGACTGATGTGGGGGAACACAGCTCACTGTGGGTGGAGCCAGCCCTGGTGTTCTTGAGTACTATAAGAAAGCAGGCCTAGAGAGCCATGAGGAGCAAGCCAGTGAGCAGCATCCCACCATGGCTTCTGCCTCTAGCTCTTACCCTGACTTCCTTGGACAGTGAACTATAAAGTGCAACTGTAAACTGAAATAGACCTCCTCCTCAGGTTGCTTATGGTCATGGTGTTTTACCATGCAATAGAAACCCTAATTAAAACAAACCTGATTATACTGGTACTTATATGCGTTTGATCAAATTCAGAGATAGAAAGCCACTCAATCAAGAGCCACTTAATCAAGAGGGTGAAATGCCCATTGCCTTAAGTCTTGCTGTGCAGAACAGGTTGCAGTTGGAGCATGAGGGAGCTGATAGATGAGAAGAGCCATTGCACTGGTCTGCAGGGCCGATAATGAAGATAGAGCTCTATCATAGCAGCACTTTGGATGTGGATATATTTTAACAGAGATCACTGATAGCGTGGGAAGCCACACCTCTCAACACATCAGAGAAGTCATCCAGGTATATGATACTTGGGGAGGCAGAGGCAAGCAGGCAGAACTCTTTGAGTTAGAGGCCAGCCTGGTCTACAAGAGTGAGTTCCAGGACAGCCAAGACTACACAGAAAAACCCTGTCTCAAAAAAGCAAAAACAAAAATAAATAAATAAATAAATAAATAAATAAATAAATAAGCGTTTGATTAGCCAAAGGCATTCTATTCCTGAATGTGATAGATAGAAATAAACTGGTGGGGACTACCAAAGAAACAGGGAGAAATGAACATTGTAGGCTGGAGGGCAGAAGAAGCAGGAGCCTAGTCTCACAAGAGGAAGAGTGATAGCTCACATGGCCAGCCTTTGACCAGGGTATTTCTTTATACCTGTGCCCTTGGCCAGTCTGACTTGAACGTAGAAAACTTCCTGTGTGCATGTGAACTGGCCCTACTCAGCTGCACCAATTCCTAAAGACTTACCAAGATTTTATCCTGCTTTGATCTCACAGAGGCTCCAAACCACTGGTGGGACTTAAACTCCAGTGGGTCATCTTTGGCATAATCTCGATTACCTGGAAAAGAATGTTGTGAGTGGTCAGAAACAAAATAGACTGTTCATAGTACAAAAAAAAAAAAAAATATTTCTATCCAGCCAGATTTAGAATAGTGTGTGTGTGTGTGTGTGTGTGTGTGTGTAGTATTTGTGTGCCTGGTACGGGGAGGGGGGCAGAATGCCTTAGTCCCAGCAGTCAGGAGGCACAGGCCGGTGATTATCTGTGAGTTCAAAGCCAATCTGAGCTGCATAGTGAATTCTAGAACAGCCAAGCTACATAGTGAGACCCTATCTCAAACTCCACCTCAAAAAGAATAGTGTACCTTCAATTAGTCAAGCACTTTGACTACATTGGGTCATATCTTGTCTTTTAAGTAGCTTAGAATGTTAGCTAGTCATAAAAATGTGTGGGGCTGGAGAGATGGCTCAGCGGTTAGAAGTCCCTGCTGCTCTTGCACAGTAGTGGGGCTCAGTTCCCAGGACCCACTTAGCAGCCCACAACCATCTGTAACCCCAGTCCCAGGACAGCCTCTTCTAATGTCCATGAACCATACACATACATGCCTACAGGCAAAACACACATACACATAGATTTGAAATTAAATCTAAAAAAAAAAAAAAGACAAATTTACGATGACCTGTAAATGTTTCCGGTTTGTGGATAACATGATTAATTATCACATTGCAGATGTGGAGAAGGGATTGCAAACCAGGTTTTTCAGTTAAATTATTTAAATTGCTAAATACCGATAACAAACACTGTGACCACCTGTTATGTTCCTAGGCACTCTGCCATAGCATAAAGATATGTATAAATATCAAATCACATGAAATTCTTGTAAGTGGCAAAGAGTAGTAAAAGACAGAGTAAGATGTAAGTCCCATAGCATGTATGTACACACACAAATAAAGCTACATGTAAAGATCGGTCTAAACATCACAAAGAAACAACCTCTGCTAATATTGTTGGCTTCTATCCTAAAGAATGCTTTCCTGAACATAAAGGATAAATCTTTATCCATAAAGAGATATTTCAAGCCAAATATCTAAGATATACTAAAATTATTACAAAAATACCTACTTACCTTTTTCTCTCCAAACAATAATTAGTGATGGTAAATCTCTGATATCATTTTTAGTATTGTACAATACCCCACTCCACGGCCGTATAATAGATTAATAAATCCCTTGTATCTCTAACAGTTTCCAATGTAGAGCTATTTTAGCCTTATTTGTGAACCCTTCATATACTGTCAAGTCACATACGTGTTCTTCCACTACACATAGGAATCTCAACAAAGCATATCGCTGGGATCTAGGACACAGGTCCATGGCTAAAGTAGGGTGATAAAAACCTCTGAGAGCATGGCACATTATAGGTTATTATCCTAATGGATATACTTCTACTAAAACCCTAAGATATGTCTATTATGATATGTAAGTCTTCTCTTACTCCTTCCTTCAGTCCATACAACAAGGTAGTCTCATTTCTACACACAACCTTTATATCCAAGGTTCATTTGCCTGGAAAACTTCATTCCTGCCACTTGATATTCTGATGATACCTGAAAATCCAACTGACATTTACTCATGACCTAATGCATGACGCCATGGTTTCTTATAGAAACACGTGTCTAATCATGAGAACCTATGGATACAGTTGTACAGTACCAACAAAGGAATACCTTCTAGACCAGCAGTTCTCAACCTGTGGGTCACAATCCCTTGGGTCAAATATCAGATATGCACATTATGATTCTTAATAATAGTAAGATTACAGCTAATGAAGTAGCAATGAAATAATTTTATGATTGGAGGGTCACCACAATATGAACAACTGTACTAAAAGGGCGCAGCATTAGAAAAATTGAAAACCACTATTATAGACCAAGAGAAAGGTTTGTGCAAAGAAACGGAGAATATATAATCCTAGACTTCTAAGAGCATTAAGGTCATTCCGTACATCTAGGTGAGGAAAAGCCAGGAATATATTGTCAAGGTCCTTTCCACCATGCTGAAAGTGGCCTCCCAGGGATCATGCTTAGCATTCTGTGCTAAGTCATTTTCTTCAACTATTTCGGTGCTGGATATGTGGAAGACATTTCCTCTTTGTAAAATGTTATTTAATTATTCTGCTTTCCAGAACTATCTTAAAACAAATGTACTTTGCTCTGTTTGTATCCAGTACCATGGACTGCTCTGTTTTCTGTCAAGTAGCAAGAGCTCCACACAGACATTATGGTCTACTCTCTTTTTTAGAAAACAAAGTACAGACAGCAGGAGAAATGGCTCAGAGCACCCAAGTTCAGCTCCCAGCACCCGAGAATCCAACGACCTCTGAGGGCACCTGCATATACATGGCACATACCCACTCACAGACATTCCAAAATACTTATAACTAAAAATAAATAAATAAATAATTTTTTGAGGACAGTATAGAAATAAGATAAAATGAAATGGCATAGAAAATACCTCCTCCTATACCTTACAAAGTCTCCCAGCCACCTGTCATCCCTGGGACACAGATCTTTCCAGTAGATAACCTGAATGGGTTCCTGGAAGGCTCCTTCTTCTTGCTCCAAGGCTCTCTCCCTTGAAACGTGGAGACTCCAGGCTGCTCTAGCCTTGACCCTGCTGACCACCTATCTAAAAAAACAGTGGCCAAAACTTCCTGAGCCTGAAGGCCCAGCACAGCATGCACGTGGTACTGATGGACTCCAGGGAGCTGTTGTCCACTGCCTCACCCCCACCAGGCAGAGAGACCATCCAGTAATGAGTCACCGTGAACCAACGGAACATCAATGACATCTGCTTGCTGTGGAAATCTCCAGCTGTATATACAGCACTCCTTATTTAAGGGAAAAATATGTGTCCCACGTAAAGACAAGCTCCTGGAGACTCTCTTCCTTTACGATGAGGTCGGGAGCAAGGGCTACCGCTCCACCACTCGGGGACATCCTGTTCATCTGTGACAGCCCCGATTGTAACAGATGCAACTATTTTGAGTGTGTGGATATCCTGGTGGGCCCTTAGGACCTCAGAGTGAATCTACGCCATGGCCTGTGGGGTTTGCTTTTTGTGTCTGCCTTACTCTAAAAGCGGGTTACTGCAGAGGCTGAAGTGGCGGCATCGGCTGCAGGCCTTCTATGACCCGGATGGGGCAAGCTCTCTGGAGATACAAGAAGTGGTGTGGGTGCTGACCCTTTGGGGGGGGGGGGGATATTGAGAAAGAGCTAAAGAGTTTGGGCTTTCAGGAAAGTAGATCTGGTTTTGTGGGAGGAAGTCTGAAGAACTTGGAAGCTGTCACAAACATCGTGAAGAGAGATGTGTAGGGATAGGGTCCCTTTGATCTCATGCATGGCTCGACAAGACCCCAACTCTACTTTCATAACCACTCTTCCCTAGCTGGTACGGGTCCTATGGTATGCTCGATCACATCCAGGCAGTCTGTATCCCTTCTTCTGGATATTTGTGGGCAATCTGCGGCTGACTGAGGATGACCAAGTCTCAAAGCAGCCGGCTTCCTTGAGATGGAAGCTGAGACCTCTAGGGTGTTAGCTGCAGAATCCTCCAGAATGTTGTGCAGGTGTGGAGCTACATCCCAGGGGTGAAGAGCAAGTATGAGGTCCTGACACGAGAGGAATATTTACAGTCCCTGTGATCCCAAGTCAGTACCAGAGCCAAGCTGGAGCCCAGCTACTGGACCCCCTGGTGAAGAACCTCCTTCTCCCCCTACTAGAGTACTCTATTTCCCCCCAGAACTCACTTCCTCTTTACAAATGAATCATACAATGAATAGAGAGGCTCCCTAGAACCACAAGGGACAGCCTTCCTCCTATGGCCCTTTCCCTCTGCAGTTTTCTTCCATTTGTCTGCTTGCTTTTGGTTTTTTTTTTTTTTTTTTTTTCAGTTAAGTACCTACTATGCAGATGCCTCTGTACAGCTCTCTGTGAGGGTGGGAGGCACCCACTGTAATGTACAAGATCCTAAGAGAACAGCCACACTGCATCACCAAAAGTGTGTTCCTGTTATGACATTCAAAATATAAGACTTCAGCCTGTCGGTGGTGGCTCACGACTTTAATCCCAGGAGCAGAGGCAGATGGATCTCTGAGTTTGAGGCCAGCCTGGTCTGCAGAGCTAGTTCCAGAACAGCCAGGAATACACAGAGAAACCCTGTTTTGAAAAACCAAAAAGTGTGTGTGTGTGTGTGTGTGTGTGTGTGTGTGTGTGTGTATGCAAAAAAAAAAAAAAAGAAAAGAAAAAAAATACCTCCTTCCATAATGACTCTCAGGGACCTGTCTCTATGGATAATGGCATTAGTGAAAACTAGAAAAGGTCACAGAAAACATGCGAATTGTATATATTTGGTTTTATACCAAATATAAAAGCCACAGTTCTTTCCATATGAAAAACTATTGACCACTTGGAACAAATCATCACCAGTCAGAGGTTTGTTTGTTTGTTTGTTTAAAAGCATCAAGCATATAGTATTTTTTGATGAAAGAAGAAATTTTAAAAACTAATTTAAGGCAGGCACAGTGATGTAAGCCTGTAATCGCAGCACTCAGGACACTGAAGCAGGTAAATCATAAGTTTAAAGCCAGCCTGTTTAGCCTATAAAGCAAGTAGAACCCCCGTGGTGACTTGAAAGAAAATGGCCCCCAAAGGGAGTGGCGCTAATGGGAAGTGTGGCCTGTTGGTATAGATATGGTCTTGTTGGAGGAAGTGTATCACTGTGGAGGCAGGCTTTGAGATCTCATATGTTCAAGATACCTCTCAGTATCTCAGACCACTTCCTGTTGCCTTCTGATCAAGATGCAGGCGGTAACATATCTAAGTGCATGCTGTCGTGCTCCCTGCCATGATTACGGACTAACCTCTGAAACTGCAAGCAGCCACCTCAATTAAATGTTTTGTTTTATAAGAGCAGCCGTGGTCCCAAGCTGAAAAGATGACTCATCAGTTAAGAGCACTGGCTGCTCTACCAGAGGTCCTGAGTTCAATTCCCAGCAACCAC